GAAGAGTGAGTGATTTAAGAGTGCAGGTGAGCCAGGCTGCCTGATATTCTTATTCCTCTACTTGACAGCTATGTCATTTTCCATAAGTTACTTAGCCTCTCTATACCTGTATCCTCATCTTGTAAAATAAGGATAAAAATAGTACCTACCTCAGAGTTGTAAAATGAAATAGATTTACAGAGATAAAGGCACTTAGCATGGTGAGCATACAGTTAAGCACTCAATAAAATTTTTAGTAATATTTACTTATTAATATTCCAATTTATATGTAGAAAATAAATATCTTTGACAGTCTTAGGGAAGCCTAAAATGGTTCTGAAGCCATTGTTCAGTTTAAAAATAAATCAGTGATTACTGAGTGCCTAGTGCAGTGATTGGCACAAGGTAGATACTTGATAATTGCTGAATGAATAAACTAACCTACTTTATTAATTTATTTTCTACAAATTTACTTCTTCTCTATAACAAAAGGTAAACAAGTAACTACTTTTTAATGGATAGACTGATATACGAGTGCAAGTGAGAACTATCTTTATTCTGTTCGATTCAGAATTTGACAATTTTCAATAAAACACATAAACTTTATGAACCTGTTAGGGGACAGATCATTTTGAAATGGTGTTCCTAAGGTCAGAAATCTCCTAGCTGATTATTATATTGTGTCTCTCTTGGAAATGCCAAAGTCAGACATCAGAAAACATGTACTGATCAAAATTCTGTATTTTAAAAATTATTTTTAAAATTGGTACGAATTCAGAGAGAGAAATTATCCATTCTGCTCTTTATAGCACAAAATGTTAAGAATCTATATTGCAGGACTGTTCATATGTTACATATGTGATAATGTACTATTCCAGGCTATAATATTTTATATAATATAGCTTAGTATTTAAAAAATTTTATTCACTTATTTTACTCATTTACCTTACCAATTAAACCATTTTAAAGTGTGTAATTCAGGGGCTCTTCACTTAGTTCCAGAACATCTTTATTATCCCAAAAGGAAACACCGTACCCACTTAGCAGTCATGCCTATTCTCTTCTCCCCGCTGTTCCTGGCACCATTATCTGTTTTGTCGCTATGGATTTGCTTATTCTGCAATTTTTTTTTTTTTAAATATATAACATCGATGAGAGAGAAACATCGATCAGCTGCCTCCTGCACACTCCCTACTGGGGATGTGCCCGCAACCAAGGTACATGCCCTTGACCGGAATCGAACCTGGGACCCTTGATTCCGCAGGCCGACGCTCTATCCACTGAGCCAAACCTGTTAGGGCTATTCTGCAAATTTTATATAAATGGAATCATAGGATATTTCCTGTCTAGCTACTTTAATGTTTTTAAGTTTTACCCATGTTGTAATAGATATGCATATATATTACACACACACGCATATATATATATATACTCTTCAATCATTTTCATAGCTGAATAATATTTCAATGACATACCACATTTTGTTTATCCATTTATTCACTGATGGACATTTGGGGTGTTTCTACTTTTTGGCTATTGTGAATAGTACTGCTAAAAACATCCCTTTACAAGTTTTTATTTGAACATCTGTTTTTAATTCTTTTGGGTATGCACCTGTACCTAGGAGTGGAATTCGTGGGCCACATGCTTAGGTTTTTGAGGAACTGCCAAACTGTTTACCACAGTGGCTACTTCCTTACTGACCTTCAGTCTAGTTATTCTATTTAGCATGTCTTTTTTTTTTTTTTAAATATATTTTATTGATTTTTTACAGAGAAGAAGGGAGAGGGATAGAGAGTTAGAAACATCGATGAGAGAGATCGATCAGCTGCCTCCTGCACGCCCCCCACTGGGGATGTGCCCGCAACCAGGGTACATGCCCTTGACCAGAATCGAACCCGGGACCCTTGAGTCCACAGGCCAATGCTCTATCCACTGAGCCAAACCGGTTCGGCAGAGCATGTCTTTTTTAAGCATTGTATCACCTGCCTATAAAACTACTTCCAAGAAGACACAGGCTCTGACTATGATTGGGTAAGGATTTCTCCATTAACATGCAGACTGAGATTGTAGGAGACATTATTTTGTTGTTGTTGTTTTTTGTTAATCCTCACCAGAGGATATTTTTTCCATTGATTTTTTGGGGAAGAGACAGAGAAACATCAATGTGAGAGAGAGACATTGATTGGTTGCATCCCACAACGTGCCCAACTGGGGCCAGGGATCAAGCCTGCAATCCAGGTACATGCTCTTGACTGGAACCAAACCCAGGACCCTGCAATCTGCAGGCTGATGCACCAACCACTGAGTGAAGCCGGCAAGGGCAGGAGGCATTACTTTAGTGCAGTGATAGGAATGATCCCTGGGATGAAAATGGCTATTTCCTCTGCCCAAATTTCAGTTGCCATTTGGCTGCTGTCTTTACTTGTAACTTGGCAATTCTATACTTTGAGTTAATGTACATAGTTGTACTGAAACAATTTTCTATAGTAGTTTGTCCCGTCAGAATACCTTCTTTCCTTTCTGTCAGATTGTATGATGCTTACTTCTCTTCCTTACTTTAAACTCCTTGACTTACTTGAATCTTCTTTTTCTTTTAAAAATCTTAGCTATATTGCTTACCTTTTGGCCCAAGAAGTTTGACTTTAATAGTCAATCAGGACTGTCATTTACTTCTAGTTGGCAAACTAAGTTAATGAATTCTAAATTTAGCTCCCCGGCTAGACAAAATGATGTTACCAAGCCCCAAATCTTAGTGGCTTACAAAAACAAGCATACATTTCTTGCTCCTGGGTCTGTGGGAAACTTTATTTCATAATACCAGAGGGGTCCATATCTGCTCCGTGTGTTTCTCTTCTAGGGTCAGTAGCTATCTAGGACATGTTCATCTTATAGCAGAGAGAGAGGACAGGTCAAGACAAACCAAATAAAACATCTAAAGTGTCTGCTTGTGTCAGACCTGCTAATATTACATTGGCCTAAACAAGTCGCATGGGTAAACCCAATAGAATGGGAAAAATCTCCTCCTTCCCCAGGGTTGGGGGAAAGGGGAGCAAGTATTTGCTGAACAGTAACATCTAAAATCACAGACTAGCAAAATAAGACAATTATGGGCAACACAGTGAGTTTTCAAAAAGTTAAATTTATTAAGTCTAACTTCACTTTGAGGTTAAGCCCTTTGTCCTTTTTAAAGTAATAATGTTCTTTCTTTCATAAAATTATGGCAATTGAAGGCAGTAGAACTTTAAAATTCTTATTACTTAACAAAATAAAAAGTTGGAAACCCTGTGTCAGTCCCCCAAAATTTTCGGACAATTTTACTAGTCCAAAAAAATCTAAAAGTCTACAAGAGAAAAAAAAAAATTCACAGACCACTGAACGTAATTCCAGGTCTGTCTGGCTCTTATTCACTATTCAGAGGCTACTCCTTGGCCTGCAAAGACACTCATTTTCTCCCTTCTCAGGTATCATTACCCCGAATGCTTGGGATTAGGAAAGTCTAGTTTTAGAGAAATAAAATGTCACTACTTATTTCTAGTGATTTAACTTTTATCTTAAAAATAGTTCTATTTACTCCTCAGATCTATATATAAACTTGGTTTTATAATACTTGGGGTCATGTAAATCTTTCATACCTCTGATGTGAAAATTTTAACAGGCAGATCAAAAAGAATAATGGCCTATGACTCTAACTTTAAAAAGATGAGCTATTACAAAGATTAAAATTTAAAAAGTAGATAGTGGCTTTACTTCCAATGTGAAAGGACACATATTTAATAGCTTTGTCTGTGTACAAGTGTTTATAAATACTATTGATTTTGTCACAGCCTGATCAAAAATTAAAACTATGCCGAAACCGGTTTGGCTCAGTGGATAGAGCGTCGGCTTGCAGACTGAGGGGTCCCAGGTTCGATTCCGGTCAAGGGCACGTACTTGGATTGCGGGCACATCCCCAGTAGGAGATGTGCAGGAGGCAGCTGATCGATGTTTCTCTCTCATCGATGTTTCTAACTCTCTATCTCTCTCCCTTCCTCTCTGTAAAAAATCAATAAAATATATTTTTTAAAAAAAATTAAAACTATGCAAAACAGCAGCACAGTGTGTTTTTCTTTTTCTCACAGTGCTGTTGAAAGAAGCAGTAATTGGCACTCCTGTCATGACTGGTTCACTTATTTCACTCCTGCCTCCACAGCCTTATTCCACCTCCTACTCTGGCTCTTCGTCTTGTTTTTTTACTTGTGATATTCTCCAGCTTTAGGCATTATTAAAATGCTATAGCTACCTTGTCTGTTCCAAACGGGGGTGGGATGGAAGAATGTGACACTGAAATGTGCTATATATACAGAAAAGCTTAAATAGAGACTTTCAAATTTGTCAAAACACTAATTTCCCATGAGTCTTGCTTTAGCAAATGAAATTATTATTATTATTATTATTATGTTTTTAAATATTTTATTGATTTTTCACAGAGAAGAAGCGAGAGGGACAGAGAGCTAGAAACATCGATGAGAGAGATTGATCAGCTGCCTCCTGCACGCCCCCTACTGGGGATGTGCCCGCAACCAAGGTACATGCCCTTGACCAGAATCGAACCTGGGACCCTTCAGTCCGCAGGCCAACGCTCTATCCACTGAGCCAAACCGGTTCGGCAGAAATTTGCAATTATTAAACAATGACTTACCGGATAGGATCTGTGAAATAATGTCACAATATGGCAACTGCCTTTTATTATCTTACTGATCTTACCCATAATTGGAGAATTTGATCCTATATATTTAGATTTCATAAATGTTCAGATATAAAATAAGAGGGAGAGAGGCACCCATAAATCAGTAAGGGATGTTTCCAAAACTGGGATGAGAACTTAACTCACCAGTTTTGAAACTCACATTTGTGTCATACTTACAATTTAATTGAAGTATCTGGAGTATCTATAGAAGTTATATTTTCTCTAATTTTTAAAATGTAATTCTTATTAAAGTAAACATTTTTAAAATGTGCTTGTACCATAAGCAACATACCTGCAGGTATGATCATCACTCACACTTGCAATTCCATGGCCTTCTTTGGGGTCAAACACCAAACCATTAATGAAATCTGAATGGCCCTCTAAAATCTGACATAAGGGGAAAAATTAATAAGAACACAGGAAAAAAAATCTACACTATTCCTACCTAATATTTTTACTTCACTGCCTTAAAAGCTTTCACTGCATGCTTCTCTTTTCCATAAATATTTCTTAGCAATCTGCTATTTTTAAAGCATGATTTATACACCCACTTTTCTGAAGGTTTTTCTTGGAAAGAAGCTGATTATTCAACACACTGCTATTAGCTTAATCTTTCTTTTCTATTATGCATATTTTACAAAAACACCACTTTTTTTTTATTGTACCTGTCCTCATGTCACCTCCTTTCTCACTTATTACATAAAGTTTAAATAAAAATTAAAGCTGGAACTTTCTAGGGGCTTGAGTTAAGAGTCCCCCTCAACTATTTATTTCATACCTACTGCCGTTCATACTTGCTGCTCCCTAATAAACACATAGGATGAACTTCACATTCTAAGGTCTTTATTCACTTGTTCAATGTGACTACCCAGCACTGGAGATAGCAGTATTACCAGCCCACAATCACAACAACCCACAGATTTGCTTCTGGCTACAGAAGGAACAAAGGGGAAGGTATAAGGTGGAGCACTATGTGAGCCAGCAAGGTTCAATATTTTAATGACTATTGTTCTTTCTCCCTCCATTCTTTCAAAAGCTCAAATTTGATCTTAGTTTTAATAGAGTGCTTCTATTTTGAACTGCTATTTAGAAATATATCATGAAGAAAAAATTTTGATTTAAATATTTTTGTGTAACTTTAACAAACTCAAATCCTCTAAACATTCTTCAAAGCTTATGCCACAGTGTACAAGACAAACTAAATTAATATTTAATTTTAATGTCTATTAATCCTAGTACATTAACTTTTTTTTAATCCTCACCTCACCTGAAGATATGTTTTTATTGATTTTTGAGAAAGAGAGGCAGAGAGAGGGAGAGAAACATCTATGTGAGAGAGAAACATCGATTGGTTGCCTCCCATATGTGCCCTGACAGGGATCGATCCCGAAAGCCAGGATGCTCCAATCAACTGAGCCACACCTGCCAGGGCCCACTTTTGTTTCTTGGTGAGAACGTTTAAGATCTACCCTTAACAACTTTCAAGTATCTAACACAGAATTGTTAATTATACTCACCATGATATACACTAGTCCCCAGAACTTATTCATCTTATGATTTCTAGTCCCCAGAAGTTATTCATCTTATGATTTGAAGTTTGTTCCTTTTTGCCATCATGCCCACATTTCCCCTGCTCCCCAGCGTGATTTTAGCTGCCATTCTACTCTGTTTCTATGAGTTAAGCTTTTTAAAATTCCACATTTAAGTGAGATCATACAGTACAATTGACCCCTGAACAATGTGGAGGTTAGGAGTGCTAACCCCTTGAGCAGTCAAAAATCTGACTCCCCCAAAACTTAACTACCCTCAGTATCTGTTGGGGGTTGGTTCCAGGACTCCCTGTGGATACAAAAATCTGAAAATGCTCAAGTCCTCTATATAAAATGGTATAGGTCAATGCAAACAGTTGCCCTCCACATCAGTGCACCCCCAAACTATGGATCGAAAATAGTACAGATATTTATTGAAAAAAAGCCACATGTAAGTGGATTCATGCTGTTCAAACCTGTATGGTTCAAGGGTCAACTGTATTTGTCTTTCTCTGTCTGACTTATTTTACAGAACTATTTCTTACAATAGAAAACTCACATATAGGGCTTACAGTGTACAAAGCAGTGTTCTAAGTGTTTTATACGAATTAGCCCATAATTCTATGAAGCAGATGCTATGATTATCCCTATTTTACAGGTAAGGGAATAAACATAGAGACTAGGAAAGTGACTAAAGTCACATTGTTATTAAAGTGGTAGAGTTGGGCTTCAAACTCAGGCGGTTTGACCTTGTATCTGTGCTCTTAACAAATTTGTAACCCTGCCTTGCACTATGCTGTAATGACTGTTTCTTTGAAGTTTTACTGGGACTCCATGTGTCTTCATGTCCATTATACTCCTACTATATACCAACTGTGAATTTCGAATTCTCCCTCATTTGTTGTGCCAACCTAATATTTTAATTTAATCAGTGATATCAGATTAATATTCTGCAATCCTTACTAAGAACCTAGATACTTAGCCTAAAATAGAGTAAACGAGACCCTAAATCACATACTTTAAAGATGACCATAAAAAATCATCTTAAATTAGGATAAATCTAATTTAAAAAAGCAAGAAATAATGTTTTAAAATAAACTATAAATTTAGAAATTATACTTGTCAAGCATACCTTGTATTCATTTTTATCTTGAAGATCTGACGTAAACAATCTAATTTTCATATCAGCAGCTGAAGTACAAAATCTGGAAGCAAAAGAACAAACAAACAAACCCACTTTTAGTCTCTGTAAATGAAGGTTCTCATCCGTACCTTCCAAATTCCTTCTAGTCACCAAAGCTATTTTCACAACTCATAGTCATGCTTTTTTTTTTTGTGCAGAAGGAGTATGTTGTGACTTTGTTATAAAAAATGTTACATTGCCATTACCGAAAGCAGAAGGTACTTAAATTTAAGAAAACACACAACATTTAGTATGTTCTTGATTTGTCTTTTAAAAAACAAGTGTTCAATTTTATTAAAAATCAACATATCAACTTAACTTTTAACTTTTTCTTAAGAGAATAAAAGGATGTGATTTAAAAAGTATCCTCATTTTAGCTAGGTCAATATCAGAGATTAAAAACATCAGTCTCTGGCTTTTTCAGTTATCCATAAGCCTTCTCACTTGTTCTATTCCTCTAAATAAATTAAATCAGATGCAAGAAGATAAAAACTGGAATATTATTTATACTGACCCTACACTAAGGTATTTTTTTAGTAGTTCATCAATGCACAGTACACTAAAATACAAAATCTAAGCAATAACTATTTTTTAAACTAGTTTGCCTTCAACCCTAAAATTATTAGATTCTCAGTATGTCAGATTATGGCTAGGGGAAAAATAAAAATTATATTTATATATTTTTTAAAAGTTTATTTCTAATTGTCTTAGGTGAATGAGTATCAAACAGACCTAAATTTCCTTAGTTCTGACTACGTTAAAGTTAAGCATTTTTTTCTTAGCTAATAAACTTATTCAACAACATTTAAATAAAATAAAAGCAAGGCTCCTAATGTGTTGGTACATCTGTTACCATCTCTTCTCAGTGATTGGGTTGGGGCACACAGAGGACTGCAGTGATATGCAAGGTGAAACAAAAGTAGGTTTACAGTTGTGAGGATAGGAAACATAGAATTTATTCTTGTATTTTTATTTATTAATTATTGTATTATTTTCCATCCAAACAACTATAAACCTACATTTGCCCCACCCTACACATAGCTCTTTTGGGAATGGATGCTATATTTCATATATACAAATAGAAGGTAAGAAAAACTAAAAAACAAAACTTAATCTACCTAATTGTCCTGTTTGAATCTGTCCCATTATTGTTTTGGGTATTCCTTATTTCCCACACAGAGGAAACTCTAGAACAAATTTGCTACAACATTATTAATGTGAGGGTCTCTCCTAAAGCAGGTTTTCTCATAGCTACGTCATAAAGAAATCACTGAAATGTCTGTTCAAAATTCATCTCTAAAACAGATAAAGTCTATTTCAGAAGGTTTTAAAAGAAATATCTCAAGCAAAAGTGTTTGTAAGGAAGGTATAACTATGAGGCCAACTTCAGTAAAAACATGTGTACAAAAAAGTTATAGAAGTCAAAGCATTTTTACCTAATAAAAAATAAAGGAATAATTAAAATAAACAAATCACAAAACTTCGTGGTGAACTTTGTGTTGTTCCACTTTCCTCTAAATTTTTGCTGCTTTAGTTTAAACATGTTTAGGGCATTTATATCATTCTTTAAACCAGAAAACCTCAGAGAACTGAAGTAAGATGAACAGTTTATTCTCCATCAAGTGGGTATGGAAAAAGAGAAAACAGAGGGATGGAGGGAGAGAGAGAACAGAATTTAAGGCAACTAAATGCTAAAGATAAAATATAAAATATTATGAAGAGATTCTAACTGTAGGATAAAAGTTAATGATGATAAGAGAAATATAAAGTTATACCTCAGTCATCTTGATAGACTACTATTTAGTCATGAAAAAAGACTACATATTGTGAAATGCCATGAAACAAATGTAAAGGAAAATAACAAGTATAAAAACTTATATATACAGTTTAATTAGAATTGTATAAATTTACCAACAAAAATGGAAAAAGTATTAGGTTTATAGCTGGCATCTAAAAAACTTTTTGTATATTCTAAACTTGATATAGTAAGTGTGTATTATTTTTATAATAAAAATACTTAATTTATTTGAAAACAAAACTGTGCTGTCAGCTTGCTCTAAAAATATTGTTTTTAAAATTAATGGCTGGTTGATATTTTGAATTTATAATTTATATTGCTACAGATCCAAAGTAGCTTTGAGGCAGCTAATAAAAAAGCAACAACAACAAAAAAGATGAAACAATACAGCAAATCCATTAAAAAAAGGATAGGAGAGCAGGTACGAAACAAAACCACGAGAAGGAGATGGTTTCTATAGCTTTCAAAATCTCCTCCGGAATGCAGAGAGACTGATGACTGACTTTTTTTTTAGCTCCAGGCTCTGAACATTTCCTTTTAATATAAAAGGAAATGAACAGCACGCTGGCTATTAACAATGACATGTATGTTGACAAGAACTGTTATGTAGATTATTCAAAATTCAGGCAGCTAACACCTGTAAAAGCTTCTAGAACAAATCACAGGACATGTTCACAATCTTGCTGTAGGTGAAGATTCTGAAGGCAGGAAATAGAATGCACACTGAAAAGTGCTCAACATCATTAGTCATCAGGCAATGCCATAGTGGTAGCAACCAGAATGTTAAAATTAAAGATTGCCAACAATAAATGCTGGAGAGTAGGTAGAGCAATTGAACATCCTTAGATTATTGGTGGGAACATAAAAATGATGGAACCATTATGGAAACTGGTACTTTCTTAAAATGTTAAATACACATCTCCCCTCTGAGTCAGTAATTCTACCCCTATGAAGCCATTTATACAATAAATCTGTATACAGAGATGCTCATAGCAGCTTTAGTCATAATAGCTAAAACTGAAAACTGTCTGATTTCCACTTATAGGAGAATGCTTATAAATTGCAGCATATTTATACAATGTAATGGAATACTCCTCAAAAATAAAAAAGAATCATTGGTATACACACTATAGATGAATCTCAAAAACATTAAGCCAGACACACAAAAATATATATTCTGTATGATTTTATTTATATGAAGTTCTAGAAGAGGCAGAACTAATTTCTGGTAATAGAAATCGGATCAATGGTTGCTTTGGCAGGGAATAGGGGGCAGGAATTGACTGGGAAGGAGCATAAAGAATCTTTTACGGTGACAGAAATGCTAAGTGAGTGGGTTATACAAGTGTCTGCATTTGTCAACACTGATGAAACTGTACCCTTTAGAGTTGAGAGCTTCCCTGTACGTACATTATCCCTTAATTTTAAAAAATTAGGTTAGCTCAGTAAATGCTAACTTGTGGATGGCTAAATACTGTTTACTAAAAGAAGACATATCTTTTAGCCATGGTATTTGTGGAAGCAAGGTTAGTGTTTTGTAACAAACCTTAAATACTCTGACATATTATGGCCCTTATGAAGACGGTCTTAGCAGGCAGTGTTATGGTTTTTCTCAAAAAGCAATTATTCTTTTCAAAGGCCTTCACAAAAACTGAAGTGCAAAGATTAGATTAATTTTATGTATTGTTAACCATAAAAATGTGACCTTGGGTTATGTATAGGGCAGTAAGGTTGATTAATGACTCAATCAAATTTAGTTCTTTTAACGGACTTATACTTTCAATAAGTGGTAAACTTCGTGAAGAATCTGTGAAGACAAAATGATTCAGACGAATCTCAGGTAGAGAGCTTTGTCGTCGGCCCAGCCATGTACTCAAGCCATCATTGCTATGACTACATATTTAAACCACAAATTCAGACAATAAGCCTAAATTATGAAATAATAGCAAATGTTAAAATATCTACTATCTAGAGCTGGAGAAAATGGAAATAGAGGGAAAAAGTCCTTAATGATCAACGGCTTCAGATCAGTTAACACAAAGGACATTAATAAATATTGCACTTAATAATAACTTTAAACTTACTTGATTACTGGAGGAAGTGAATCAAGTCTAGTCTCTGGGCTCCAAGCTATGCCACCAACTCTGATTCCATGGTGAATTGTTTGTAGTGTTTTATACTGAAGGCCTTCAATGTCTGCTTCTTCCTCCTAAGGAAACACAGTCAATGTTATAATAAGTTATGAGAACAAACATTGTAATACTCCATTTTGTGATAATAAAGAATTTACCAGGAGACTATGTACAGTGAGTCCTCACTTAATGTAATGGATAGGTTCCTGACTTTGGGCAAAATGATGTATAACAAAAACAGTTTTTTCTAGAAGCTAGTTAATATAAACAAGAGTTAAGTTCTTATGGCATATTTCTGGTCACCAAAACATCACCAAACTTCTAAAGACCCAAACAACTTCTAATATTAAACATTGAACTGTGAGCTATACCTAATTGTAAGAGCCTAAAGTATTTACTACCTGGTTCTTTACAAAAAGTTTATTAATAGACTATTTCCTGTAGTAGAATATGTGCTTCAGAGTGAAGAAAAATGACCCCACAAGGAAGGCCTCAGATGTAAGGAACAGTGACTAAAAAAAATATGAAGCAAACAGGTGAGTAAATTAAACAAATGTTAGCCACATGAAACAACATCAAATTTGTGGGTTAAAAAAAAATGATAGCTAAAATATGACAACAGAAGTCTGGGGGGGAGGGTGATAACAGTTCATGTGTCAAAGGTCCCTGTTTTGTTCATAAAGTTAAAGATATTAATTTTGACTTTGTTTAAGTATGCATGTTAAAGTGTCTTTGGTAACCATTAAAAGAAGAAAAATGGCATGTAAAACATAAACTTTAAGGAGAAAAAAAAATGAAAGGAGGGGGGAACAAAACAGACGACAACCCACCCCCCACATTCCAATGTTTTCAATAGTAAAAAACTGTAAGTAAACCAACAGTGAAAATAAATGAAGTAAAATATGGAGGAATCTAACACATTTATCAATAGCAACAAATTGGAGAACACAATACAGAATAATTTCATTGATATAGTTTAAAACATGAAAAAAAATATTGATTTTCACCACCTATGGTAACTCTATAGAGAAAAACAAGGAATTGTAAAACACAAAGATTCAGACATGGTTACTTCTTGGGGGTGAGAAGGGCAATAAGGGCAGGATACCCAAGGGGCTTCAAAAGAATTGCTAATATTCCATTTCTTAAGCTAGGTATATAGGAGTCTATTTTATTATTATTCTCTATACCATATATTGATAATATATACTTAAAAACACGTTTTATAAGCTTAAAACATTGATTTTAAAAATAAATAAACCATGGTTTTATTATTTAAATCAATACCCTGTGTCTGAAGACAAAAGCAGAATGGTTCTTTTTTTTTTCTTCTCCTTTTTATACATATTTTCTATTGATTTTTAGAGAGGGAGAGAAACATTGATGTGAGACTGATGGATCGACTGTCTCCTTCCCACCCCCTACCAGGGATCAAGCCCACAACCCAGGCATGTTCCCTGACCAGGAATTAAACCAGCAACCTTTTGGTGCACGGGACAATGTAAAACCGAGCCACACTGGCCAGGGCAAAAGCAAAAATTTTCGTGACAAAATTTTCCAAAGGGATCTTCTATGTTAAATGACTAGTTTTTTTTAATAAAAGTTTATAGGATTATAAAATAGCAGGAAAAAATCTAGAGCAGGTGAAACTCGATTATTTAATGGGACACATGTGTCTCCATGGAAGGGAATTATCTAAAGACTTGTTCTAAGAATTCCATTCATCCTGAATCTAACTGCAAAGTTGTATAATGTGTACTTTAATTGAATTCCAGTGATGTGTTGATTTTTTCAGGATAGCCTTTGAGATCTTAACAAAGTCATTTCACAAATACATTACACATCTCTTTCTCTACATAATTCAGATGTCCCTTGAAAATAAATTTAAATTTCAGATGAATTTAGAGTTAACAGCAAAAAGTTTTTCCATAAACGAAAAAAAGGATAAAAATGTATTTATCAAGGAAAGAAAAACACTGTCAAATTTTATTACTTCGTAATTTGTGTGTATAACTGTATGGCTAACAGCCAGATATACCAAGACAGCAACCACTAAGCAATTTTAAAATAAGGTTAGAAGCCTAATCATAGCTGATTTCATAGTTTGGGTTACATCTATTTTTCTACACTCGACAAATCAATCTTCTAAAAATGAAGTTTTTACCATCAAAACAGACGTTATTTTGCTACTGTAACAATAGTGCTGACAATTAGGTTTTGTAATTTGTTATCCAAAGCATATATGGAATTATTTGGTGGTCATGGGGATAAAGAAATCCCAGGGACTGTACAGTCTGAGCTTTATGTATTACCAGTGAAATCTTTTTTTCCTGGCAGCAATGTCTGCCATTGAGCCAACTAAAAGGCTAGGGTGTGTGTGTGGTATAGGCAGAAACAAATGCTATTTTGGGTGTAGGCAGTATTGTATAGGCAGGAAATTAAGATACTTTGTGGAAAACATGCCATAATACATATCATTATATAAGGCTCCAGCATATTTGAGGTTGGAGCCAAGCCAGGTTGATGAGGTTGATGAAAGGGCTATTCTAAGGATTTGAAATGGGCAGGCTTTCCTATCACACCCATTTAAGGCCAAGTATAGAATTTTAGTTAGAGGAGACTGTAAAGTTCACCTACTCTGTTTCTTTCACTGAATGCTTAAATCCCTGGTACATCATCTGAAAACAAGAGTTTGCGCAACCCTTTTCTGAACACTTTCAGTGAGAGGGAACTAGCTACGTCTTCGGGGGAGATTATTCCATTTAGGACAGATCGAATTATTAGAAGAGTTCTCTTTAACATGAAACCAAAATCTTTTTACATGTAAATTCTACTCATGACTTCAAATTCTGCTTTCTGGAACCACACAGAGTAATAAGTCTAATTCCTGGCCATGGCTGATTTCCCCTTAGGGCAGTGGTTCTCAACCTTGGCTGCACATTAGAATCACCTGGGAATCTTTTTAAAATCCTGATGTCTGGGCCTCACCCTCTGGAAATTCTGTTTCTTTGTTACTAATGTTGTGGCCCCACCCCATAACAAAGAAACAGAATTTCCAGAGGATGAGGCCCAGAGATCAGGATTTTAAAAAGATTCCCAGGTGATTCTAATGTGCAGCCAAGGTTGAGAACCACTGCCTTAGGGGAACAGACGCAGAGAAGATTTGGCATCACTCTTAAATAGAATTGACAAATAACACAATACTTTTACCATTCTGAGTCTAATCCCTCTTTCATGCAAAGTTTTAAATATTTGAATACCACTCTGAAATTTGTCTTCAAGTACATTATCTCCTTTAAATCTCCACAGTGCTGAGAACTGAAATAAACATTACTGCCACTTTATAGAGAATACAGAGCTGTGCAGTCCAATATAGCAGCTACTAGCCACATGGGGCTTTTAAACACTTGATATATGTATAGTTCAAGCTGAGACGTGTACACTTTATAAAGTGCAAAATCCACACTAGATTTCAGAGTTAGTATAGACTATAAAATATCTCAATTATTTTTCATATTGGCTGCACATAAAATATTGTGGATATGCTAGGTAAAAAATTAATTTCATCTGCTTTACACTTTCCATAATGTGGTTACAACATTTAAATTTATATTTGTGGCTCACGTTATATTTCTATTGGATAGCACTGAATTAGCTCTCTTTGGCAGTTTAATCATTGCACTGATTCATGTGAACATCCAGGTGATTAAAAACTGGAAGTCACAATTCTCCCTTTTAGCTCTAGTAATCTATCATATTAAGACTTATATTCATCTTTATTAAATTTTAGCTTGTTCAACTTGACACATTAATTACATACATTATATAGTATTTGGATTCTGAGCAGAGTCTGACGTACATGTGCACAGACAGCATATTAAATGAACTCTGCCATCCAAACCATTAGATATCCTTCTCAGTTTCGTGCTCTTGCCTGAGTCACGTGTTCTCATCCAAGTCCCAGTAGAGGCCTTAATTCATTACTGATGACCCTTTGAATAGACTTAGAACTTTTCACGCTCCCTCTCCCGTCTACAAATAGGACTTTTATAGAAGTTTTCTTATTACAGTTTACATTTAAACATCTCCTTGAGGGCAGGGTCCTTGCTTTTATAAACATGTACTTATTACCAGTGCCCACACCAGATACGAACTTCATAAATATTTGACAGATATATGACATCAATCAATACTATCGTTCAACTTAAATTTCCATCTTTCAAAAGAACATGATCAATTCTGAAAAATGCTTTGTTGAAATTCAAATTCATGATATTGATAGTGTTTTTTTCACCAGTGTTAGAATAAGATTGCCTTTCTGATAGGAATGAGAAATCTTCCAGTTTGATTCACCTTAGTTTTCTCTCAAGACAAGAGGGAGGCATGAAATTAGGTAGTATGGAACTTGAAGCTTCTAACATGAGAGACTAAGAACAACGTCTAATACTGTTTAACTAGATAAAAAACATAACTTCAAAGGGAAGCAATATACTTTCAAAGTTTAGCAAAAGTTTACCAACATTTGCGTAAGCTTTCTTATCAGTGAAATATCTTCATTGTCATTCACTGTAGTTTCACACACTCACCTGAAATGTACACGTGCCAATGACCACGTAATTATTGCCACCATATGCAATTAGGTTTCCGGAACCCCCGGTGTCAAAGGGATTAAATTCTACCACATGCACATAATCTTCACAATCCACGGTGTAGGCAGCATTCCTTGTGGCATCTTGCTTCATCTTGTATGTCAAAGTTTGAACAGTTGTAACAATAAAGTAGCCTTCAACTGGACAAGGTCATGAAACTGTGAACTATAGCACAGACACAGTTAGATAGAAATGGTAGAAAATATTATTCACTTTCAGCAAATGAGCAAAATAAGAATGGAGTATTGCAAATGCCACAGACAGCAACAAAAAATTTAAAGTACTTATTTAGATACTTTGTGAATGATACCGAGCAGCATGAATCACTATAATTTTGTTTACATTATCTAAAAAATGTAACATTTGAAGAGGAAATCACTTCAGTAAACATATTTATGACAAATTAAAGATAGTTAACATTTACAGAGTATCTCTTTGCAGGTGCCATGTTAACCATTTTACTGACAATATAGCATCAACTATTCCTATAAACCTTAGCAGCGGTTCTCAACCTGTGGGTCGAGACCCCTTTGGCGGTCCAACGACCCTTTCACAGGGGTCGCCCAAGACCATCCTGCATATCAGATATTTACATTACGATTCACAACAGTAGCAACATTACAGTTATGAAATAGCAACGAAAATAATTTTATGGTTGGGTCACAACATGAGGAACTGTATTTAAAGGGCCAGAAGGTTGAGAACCACTGCCGTAGAGGGAGGTACTGCCCATGGTTCCCATTTTACTGATGGGGAAATCAAGGCTTCAGGACTTAAATTAGCTTTCCAAGGCCATAAGATGAGTCAGAGTTTGAAAACATTACCACGTGTTGGACGCCAGTGCTAGAGAAGAAAAACGCAGCTCTGGGCTTCGCAGGAGCTCACAATCCGGGACAGTTACGGCTCAGCGTGAAAAGTGCTGCACTACAAACAGATACAAAATATGCAATATGGAAGGAGTGACAAAATGTGTTATAAAAAATAATATTCACATAACCTGCACAAAAACGTCAACTACGCTGTCGTGGTCTGGTATGCATTCTGGATGTAGCATTCCCGAAAGAGACATGGGTTCTATAGATATTTAATTTATTTTTTTTATTGGACGCCGAAGTTATCCTGAAAACAGCTGGGCTCGATTACAAACATATGAAGTACCGGTGAGGACTTATTGGGAATCAGATGAGTCCCACCTCAGAAAGCCAATACACCAGTGACCTTACAAGCGGGCATCTGGGATTGGGCATTTAGCTTAAGGCGACCAGCCGTCCGAAAGGCCCCCAGAGGCACAGAGGTGCGGGAAGGCACTCGGTCTAAAGCAGTGTCCGGTCTCGCTACATTATCGGGGTCTCACAGTGCACGGCGGGTGGGACACGTGCCTGAAAAACTGGAAGAGCACCGGGGAGGGAGTAAGAGGCGGCCCTACTAAGAGCCCAGATGCCTCCCCCTGTCCCAGGCAGATCGAGCGAGACCCCGCTACCGCCTCCCCGAGCCCGAGGTCGGAGGGAAGAGGGGTGGAGAGCCGCCTGGGGACGGCGGGGAGGTGGGTAGCAAAGCGGCGCGGCCCCCTGGGCTCCGTGATACGCACCGGAGGGAACCGGGAATCGGCAGAGAAGAGTGGGTATCCGCGGAGGGCACTTAGAGGCTCGTGTCGATTCTGCTTCCGGGTCAGAGGGCGGCAGCGGCGATTGGCTCTCAGGCCGTCCCGCGAGATTTAAACTGTAACCCGCGATGATTCAAACAGCCGAGAGGCTGTGCGGCTGGGAAGGTCCCTGCTTCAGCTGGTCCTGCACCTCCCGAGTCTCCCCCGAGCCAGGTGAGTCTGACCTCTCCTCCATCCGCATGTCACATGGTAAGTGGTGATTCAAGCCGCGGGTTTTTCGGTGACAGAAAAGCGCCGAGTGATCGTTTAAGTTAATTTTGCGGTGGCTTCGTTCTGCAGCCAGGTTGGGTCTGGGTGTATTGAACGGAGATGACAGTATCTACGAGTGGGTGGGGCTGGAAGTCCGAGGCCCATTGAGGGCTCCTTAGGTTCATTAGGCGACAAACCGGGGTTCTAGTCCCCAAACCTACGCAGACTCCAGTTCTGCTGAATTCGCCCTCTCCTTGTTAATTCCTCCCGAGGAACTTTTTGGACCTGCATTCTGACAGTGATTGCAGCAACGACTGCCATTTGTTTTTTTTTAATTGAGCACCTACTAAGTGCCGGGAACTAGGTGGATTATTTACTTGTCTCTCTAACGGCTCATAATCTTACGGGATAGGAGATATCCTCCCCGCTTTACAGATGAAGAAATATATGCTCATCAGATATTTTAAATACCGAAGGGCATACAGCTAATAAATGGGAGAGCCTGCATGTGGACCCTGATCTCTCTGACGCAAAAGTGGAGTTCTTTTAATCATCTCACACTGCCTCCCCAGTGACAGTTTCCTGTCTCACAATGTTTGTTTGCTTCAGTGCGGCTTGGAATCCAGTTTTTTTTTTTAAAACAAGTGTTTATGATCTCTGCCACCTTTTACTGCTGGTTTTGTGTAGTGCAGACTGACATTCAGAATGCTTGCATATTCGTTGTCTCACTGACTCCTCATAACTGGCTGGAAAATATTATTCCTGTTTTCTTTTTGATGAAACCTCTACCTAGGCAGTCAGGTTAAAAGCTGCCTAGGCTCACACAGCCAGCTAGCTACTGGGAGAGTTGAGACTAGATCAGGATTGGCAAACCCATGGCACTGCCTGTTTTAGTGCATCCAGTTCCCAAGCTAAGAATGGATTTTTCATGTTTAAATGATTGGGGGTGGGGGTGGGGGTGGTGGTGGTGGGGATGGGGGGCGGGTGGATCATTAGGAGAATGATATTTTGGGATGTGTGAAAATTATATGAAATTCAAATTTCAGTTTTTATTAAGTTTTGATGAAGCTCATTTGTTCATGGGTTGTTGGTGGCTATTTTCTCATGGCAAGGTCAGGTTGAGTAGTTGTGACAGAGACTGTATGGCTTGCACTCCTCAAATATATGTAATTGGCCCTTTCCAAAAAGTGTGCTGACCCCTAGATAAGATTGTTGGCTCTTATATGTGCCAGGCACTGATCTAAAAGTTTCACTTATATTTATCATTTACTTTTTACAAATCTCTATGAGATAGTAACTGTCATTATTTTCATTTTCAGTGCAACGAAGCTGAGGCTGGGAGAGGTGACATAACTTGGCAAAGATCTCACAGCTAGCAAGTGGTGAAGCCAGGATTCAGAACAGTGTAATTCTAGATTCATCTTCATTCTAGCAATCTGAACTCTTTTTCTGCACTGGCCTTTAAATAACACTAGTAAGTCATTTACTACTAAAGATTTCTTTCAGGCAAACTGATCATTACAGAAGCATTACTTCTTCACTTTCTTTTTTATTTATTATAAGAGATGAGGGTGATATTTTTAAGAGAAATATAATTCTTAGCTATTTACTAGGACCTGTATTTAAGTAGATATTTTCAGTCTTATACCTGTATATTTAAGTTGTGTCACTGATTGTGTCTTTAGGTTATTATTTTGTAAATGGCATATGCCCATTTTCTTGATCATAGAAACCCAAGATACATAGTAAACATCTGAGATTTTGTTCCAAAATCCAAACTCAGAAGGAACCTATGTGTTCAGCATAACTATATTGTTGTACAAACAGTTTAAGCACAGTGAGCCACTCTTACTAGAAACCCTCCTGAAATCTAAGTTCCCAGATGTCAGTCAAGGGCCAGCCTTGTAAGCAGGACTTTCAAAGGATAGTAATCAGGCCTGCTGTATTAACTCTTTTTATGCACTGGCCCTTCGAGGTCTAGGCTTGGAACTCCCACAGTGCCATTCTTACTACATCCTGTTGGTTAAATCAAGTCACAAGGCCAACCGAGATTCAAAGGGATGGAAAAATAGACAATCTCTTTTGGGATAATACAACGATGGGAAGAAATTGGCTGCCTCCCTCCCCAGTCTACCACAGATATTACCATCTATCGTAAAACAAAAATTTTAAAACACAGTTTTAATTAGCTCTGTGTCTGTAATTATAAGTTTGCAGAATTGGTGTATCTATTTTGTATGAATTTTCAGGTCGAAGGTTGTATTTTGTTATTTCAAACGATTTGGCTTAAGAAAGCTAAAGGAGAGGAAAATATGATTGGGGAGAAATTGTTTTTATTCTGTTCTCCTAAATTTCATGAAAAGCAATCTTTGTAAACATGAGATGACCTCTTGTTCATTACTTATTTTTCTCTAACTCTTGCTTGCCTTACACATGTTCAATATTAATTTCCAATGAAAATAAAGCCTTTTAATATTGCATTCTGTCCTACTTTAGGAGGATGGCTGTGCTTCATCAGAAGTCTGTCTTGGATATGATTAAAGAGTTCAGGAGGAATTGGCACACGCTTTGTGACTCCGAGAGAACTACAGTATGTGGGGCAGACTCCATGATCTTGGCATTGCAGCTATCCATGGCAGAGAACAACAAACAGGTTAGTAGGCTATATTTAGGTTCACTTTTTTTTTTTTTAACAGTGAATTTTGGTTGCTGCTATTTGAATAAACTTCATTACATTAATTTCTTTGCAATAGATGACCTCCTATGATAATATCAATATACTTTTTTCACAAATGGCTCTGCATACCTATGTCAGAAATGACTATTGGATGTTAAGTTATTTGTTTCAAAATTAAGGCCTTCATATGTATAATTCAACATAGAACATGCACATTTGATGTTTAATTTGAAGTTTTAAGTTAAACCTGCAGCTGTTATGATTATTATGATTAAAATTACTTTAATTTTATAAGACTTCCTTCCCTAAAAAGATCTGGAAAGCACACATAGATAATGTTTATTTAACTATAACCAAAGTATTTTATGATTAATTTAAGATTTTATAGTATAGATTAATTGTTCCTAGACCAGGCTATGGATCAGAATCATTTGGGAGGACTTTTGAAATATATTGAATACTGTGCCCCAGTCTTGAAATTCTATTCTCTGAATCTGCACCGAGACCCTGAAAATTGTCTTTTTAAAAAATCTCCCTGAAGTGATTATTACATAGTTGGCTTGGGCCAAACTACTGTTTAACATGAGCTCTACCTAGAGGGCTAGAGGTGCTCAGATGAGAGATGAATGAATGAATGTAGGCTGGAGTGGTAAAGAATTTTAGATAATATACTTAAAGCAGTGGAAATCTTTGGATGGGAAGGTTTTAAAGAAGGGATGAAGTAAGGGGAAAGCTCAGAAGAAGCATCCACAGGGAATCAAAATCATGAAGATGGTAAGGAGACTGTCTTGACTAGAGAAGAAGATTTTTGAAGGATGAAGTTGATTTCCATGGGTCTGTTGGGCTAGATGGTTGAATGACGTTCTGGTGAATTATTTTAATCCTGTATGTCAGTAGTTCCCAGAATTTTAGATTTCATGTATCAGTAAACTTTCCAAAAGAATTAGACATTGACAGATTTGAACATTTCCCATGTTGGCAAATAAGGCTATTAAGGAAAAATAATTAATAGAGCTATCATTTTGAAAAAGGAAGACTATTTTAACACGTAAAAATTAGAAATTGTATGATCTTAAAATAAGAGGTGGTCTTTCCTCTGCATGAATAGTTGGCAGTTTTGCATGTTTAAAGCAATGTACTTTAAGATAAATTTTGAACATAAGATATTTTTGACAAAATTCTATCTTTTGTAGATATTCTTTGAACAAATACTGAGTTTTTACTATGTGCTGGACATTATTCTGAGCATTAGGAATATAATATTGAAGGAAATCCCTGCTCTTATGGAAATAATTGTCTAGTAAGGAGAGATAACATTCTAATAAATAAGATATTTAGTGCTTTAAGTCATATTAAGTGCCACAGAGAAGAACAAAACAGAGTTCCAATAAAGAGTATATAGAGTTTGGGGTGGAGGAGTTCTTGCAATCTGAAATAGGGTGGTCAAAGAGGCCTCATTTAGAAGTTGCCATTTGAATGAGTGAAAGGAGGAGTTAGTCATGGGAATTTAGGCGGGAAGGGACTACCAGGCAAAGGGAACAGCAGATGCAAGGGCCCTGAGGGGGGAATATGCTTGGCATGTTCAAGGAACCATAGGGAGGCCGATTACAGCTGTTTATATAAATGTTAATTTCTTCCCTCTATTCCTCCCTCCCACAGATTCATTCCTTCCTCCTTCCTCCCTCCCTCCCTCCTTCTTCCTCCCTCCCTCCCTTCCTTTCTTCCTTCCTTTAAAATCCTTATTTAACCATTTATTTTTTTTATTTTTTATTTTTTTAATATATTTTATTGATTTTTTTACAGAGAGGAAGGGAGAGGAATAGAGAGTTAGAAACATCGATCAGCTGCCTCCTGCACACTCCCTACTGGGTATGTGCCTGCAACCAAGGTACATGCCCTTGACCAGAATCGAACCTGGGACCCTTGAGTCCTCAGGCCGATGCTCTATCCATTGAGCCAAACCAGTTAGGGCATATTTAACCATTTAGATGTCCTTTCCTTAAACTGTGTTTATATCTTTTGCTTATTTTGCTGTTGCGTTGCTTTGATCACTTTCTTACTCTTTGAAAGAATTCTGCATGTATTTTAGATACTCTTTGTTATATACTTTGTTGCTATCTTCCAATATGCTTGATTTTACCCACTTTAGTTGTTTCAGCAGTATTCTTATGCTAGACCTCTCTACTAAGTCTTACTTTGGTATGGTCAAGTACTCATTGGACATTTTATCTTGATGTCCCATTACTGTCTCCACATCAGTTTTTAGAAAGAAACCACATTGTTTGCTCCCTCAGCTTACCTTAATATTCATATTCTTAGTCTCAGTGTTTGTATTATTGCTCACTCAGTCACTGAAACTAGATGCCTAAGTGTCATCGTAGAGTCTCTTTGCTTCCCATTGCAGTCCATATTAAGTCTTGCTTGAGCATTTAAAAAAAAAAGTCCTTTTTAAAAAATTCTTTATTGTTTAAAGTATTACATATGTCTCCTTTTTTCCCTGATTGATTTCTCCCCGGCCACCCTCACCCCCCAGCTCATGCCCTCACTGCCCTAGTGTCTGTGTCCAGTGGTTATGCTCATATGCATGCATATAAGTCCTTTGGTTGATCTCTTACCCCCTCACACCCTGCCTTCCCTCTGAAGTTTGGCAGTCTGTTCGATGCTTCTCTGTCTCTGGATCTATTTTTGTTCATCAGTTTATGTTATTGATTATATTCCACAAATGAGTGAGATCATATGATATTTATCTTTCTCCAACTGGCTTATTTCGCTTAGCATAATGCTCTTCATGTTCATCCATGCTGTTGCGAATGGTAAGAGTTCTTTTTTTTTTTTTTTTTTTTTTTTTTTTTTTTTTTACAGCAGCATAGTATTCCATTGTGTAGATGTACCACAGTTTTTTAATCCACTCATCTGCTGATGGGCACGTAGGCTGTTTCCAAATCTTAACTATTATAAATTGTGCTGCTATGAACATAGGGGTGCATATGTCCTCTCTGATTGGTGTTTCCGATTTCTTGGGATATATTCCTAGAAGTGGGATTACTGGGTCAAATGGGAGTTCCATTTTTAATTTTTTGAGGAAACTCCACACTGTTTTTCACAATATCTGCACCAGTCTGCATTCCCATCAGCAGTGCACGAGGGTTCCTTTTTCTCCGCATCCTCTCCAGCACTTGTCGTTTGTTGATGATAGTCATTCTGACAGGTGTGAGATGGTATCTCATTTTTGTTTTGATTTGCATTGTCCTTCTTTTATAATCTGAAGAAGTTGTTTTAAGGTGGATAATAGATTCTGAGGATATTGTATACATGGAGTGGGCTAGCTGATGGTTAAACCTTGGTGACCATACACCGGGACATGAGGAGAGAGAAATTGAGACAGTTATTAGGAATTGCTATTTAGTGATTGAGAACTGTTGTTCTGGAATCAAACAGAGCATACAGAGCATGTTCAAATCACCTCCTATTGTTTGTTTGTTTGTGTATAAATAATTGAGAAATAGATATATCAACAAGTTAAATAAAATGCAGCCTGAAAAAATTTTAGTTCTCATTGTAAAAATTTTGACATATTGAAATGTACATCCAAGTCAGTGTTTCTTCAGGACTTGTCTGTGTAGCATTCATTCGGGATTTTTTCCTACTTGCTAATGTTCTACTTGCTAATTCACTTTATTACCTGTGAAAGTTCAGACTCTGGGTGGGAAAAGGGTGAGTGGTGAATTGCAACTGAGTTTTTCACAGTTTGTGTAGGTATGCATACTTGTGGAGATGGTGGTTGCAGTTCTGTTTTACTTTAACTCTCTATGTACAGTCTTAGCTTAGGCATTCCTCACTGTGCTCAGACTTCCACGGCACCCAGAATGAAACAACACACACATATGCCTGCAGGTGCATTCATAAGTAGCATACAGTAATAACAGGGTGGAGTTGGTTGTATATATCCTTCAACTATTTTTCACCCGGTGTTTGTGGTCTACTTATGGTTTTTAATTCTCTGAAGTTTGAGTCCCTAAAGTATAATCCTTATAACTGAATTTGACTGTAGTAAAACTTTTGAATACCTAGTAGAATTGTTAGTCTGTCTATTGGCATGTTTGTTTTCTTAACGGCTTTAGTGGGGAAAAAGAAAAGGTATATTAAAATAATCTTTGAGTGTTAGGTTTTTGACATGTTTTTAGAGGAGCAAGATTTTTTTAGCTTAAATCATGTAATACCTCTCTAGTAGTTTTATACTGTTGATGATTTACCTGTTTTAGATTCATTCACTATTGACTTCATTATGTGACAAATATATATGACTTCATTAGGTTGCAATGAAGGTTTCATTTTAGCCTTTACTTCATTAGGTTTCATTTTAGCCTTTACTTCATTAGGTTTCATTTTAGCCTTTACTGTCTTTGGAATTGGCCTCATAGTTTGACTCTGTCATGCAATTACATTATAAAGGCTGTTTTTCACCTTAAAAAGCCTTAAGAACATTACAAATGTTCTGTTGAATGGAACAGACAAAGATATTAACTTATAACCTCGTGGAAAGCCACCACAGCACCTGTGGTTGACTGGCCGATTTGAAAATGACCTAACAGAGACATAACAAGAAGAAACAGAATTTAAAATCCTATATAATAAGTGTCCAGTCATCCGGTTGTCCGTTCAACCAATCAATAACATAGTAATATGCTAATGATATGCTAAGGCCGCTCAACTGCTCTCTATGACCTGCACTGACCACCAGGGGGCAGATAGTTGAGTGGTCGACCAGTTGCTATGACATGCAGTCACTACCAGGGTCCAGACAGTTGACCGGTTGACCAGTTGCTATGATATGCACTGACTACTAAGAGGCAGACACTCAACACAGGAGCTGCCCCCTGGTGGTCAATGTGCTCCCACAGGGGGAGCGCTGCTCAGCCAGAAGCCAGTGTCACAGCTGGCGAGTTCAGCGGCAGTGGTGGGAGTTCTCCTGCCTCTGCAGCAGTGCTAAGGATGTCCTACTGCTGGCTTAGGCCCACTCCCTGAGGGCTTCCGGACTGCAAGAGGGCGCAGGCTGGGCTGAGGGACACCTCCCCCCGCTCCTCCCAAGTGCACAAATTTTGTGCACTGGGCCTCTAGTTGAATTATAATTATCTACCACTCCTCCACCAGCAAACAAACTGACAGTTATTTTACTTGATAAAAAGAGAAGGGCAACTGCCATTTTTGATTACCTACCATTTATAAGGTGTTATTTAATCCGTACAATCTCATTTTATAACCAAGGAAATTGACTCAGAGGGATTTCGGTATCTTACCCAAGTTCACACAGCAAGGAAGGGAGTGGGAGGGAGAGATAGAAACATAAATGATGAGAGAGAATCATTGATCGGCTGCCTACTGTGTGCCCCCCACAGGGGATCAAGTCCGCAACCTGCACACATGCCCTGACCGAGAATCAAACCATGACCTCCTCTTTCATAGGTCAATGCTCAACCACTGAACCACCATGCTGGCTGGGCACCAATTAATGCTCTTAACACATTTTGTATTGCTCAGGAGTTTTCTCGTGTTTCACACGCCATCTATTAAGGACTGCTCACGAGTGTTCTTTTTTTTCACGCCCATGGAAAAAGGAGTGAATCAAGATACTTACGTAAATTTTGTTTGGTCCCTCTTCATAGAGGAAAATGTTTTATGCAGTACCATATGTTAAAAAAGTATTAGGAACTTTAATTGTTTAATTGTTTTTCTAAATAAAAATGTTATAATTATTGAAAAACAACACCTAAAGTGCATTATGATGATTTAAATAACATGCAGTTTGCCCAAAAATGTGCGGTCCCTGGCATATGTCTTAGAGATTTCTATGCGGTACGCAATGTGTTAAGTAGACCTGCTATCTTTACTCTTTAGATAATAAGAATTCCAGCTAGTTAAAAATGTGAAATTTATTTAAAATTTTGAATAATAAATAACTTTGATAAAATATACAAAGTACAAGTGCTCTGAAAAAGTGTAACTCTTGCTTTTTCTCATTTTATTCTTGTGAAATATAATCCTTCGGTTGTCCATCAAAGCATTGAACATTTTGAACTTCCTTCAAATAGTAGCCAGTTGGCATGTTTTCCTAGCAAAACATTTTCTGATTTGACCACAGACTCTCTCTCAATCAGTTGTTACTCGTTTGAAAAATAGAATATGCTGTCATGGTGGGCACCTGGTCCTGAAAACTGATAGCTGGAGTGCAATTTTATTTGGATTTAAAGTGTTTTTACAATCTCAGTATAAACACTTAATCTAGTCAGAGCCTTTTCTCAGAAGATCAAGAGTTTGCATAGTTCTCCTTTTGTTACAGTCAACAGAATGAGAATAAATTATATATTTACATTAAAGCAAAAACTTAATTTATTTTTACCATGAAGGACGTTATGCCAAAATAGTTTTAAGAATTTTTAAGATAAAACAATTTAGTTTTAAACTAAATAAGTGGATTTATTTAACTTAAATACCATTTGGAGATTTAATAATATATAACCTTTGTAGGGTTGGGGAGTAAAGTATACAATTTTTGATTTAATGTTTGGATTATGGATCTATGGTTTGAGAGTTGATCTTTTTGTTTGTTCATGGAACTAATTTCATGAAGTATAATTAATTTTCATAACTGCGATATAACAGGTCCCTACTCTAAGGACAATAAAGATGATTTTCTTAATTGCTTTATATGGGTGAGTAGACAGTTAATTTTTTTAAGGCAGGTTGTACACTTTGTCTTAAATTTGGATAGTAATTGGAAAATGTGACTGATCTTTATAAAACATATAAAGATAGATATTTGAAAGAGTCAGATGTTTAGACATAGTACTACATCATATGATTCTATTTGATTTCTTTCTGTTATTCTTCATTGGCTAAATATGATGTTACAGTTTAGTTCCAATAAATTATAGTTCTATTTAAATATCCACCCATCTTAACATGCAATTAATGGAAAGATCTAGTTGTTAGCAGAAACTACTAATATATTAATGGAGCTTAACTGTAGAAGACAGCAACATTGATATATTTCACAAAACCACATAGGGATGCTTATAAATATTTCTTATTCATGAAGCATTGAAGAGGAGCAGTTAGAATTTTTTTACTGAATTGGAGTTGGCATTTTGTGGAGGACACCGTTATTAATACTGGGGGTATAAAGTGGGAGCAGAATGCAATCAATTGAAAAAAAATACCCTTCAATATGCCCAATTTTGAACAATTTTGCTTAATAAGTAACATCTGACAGCTTAGAGAAAGAAACCTGACTCATTTGCCTATAGTTTAGTGTGTCCCTGAATAGGGAAGAATAAAAATCCTCCTTTGACCCTAAGTTTTAGCACTGGTGTTTTGTTTTCTCTTCAAGAATAATGAGATGAAACATAGTTTTTAAAAGTTTAATTTTTCTGATCATATTTTAAGATTAACTCTTGGAATAGTGTGTGGTATATGTGGTATGTGGGAATTCACTATGACATTGATAGTTTTTAAATAAGAGATTAAAAATATATTAGCTAAAAGAGTGAATAGGAACAAATATTAACAGAATCGAATGTTTCCCTAATCAATAGTACTTAGCTACAGTTCACTGCCCTCCTATTGCCCCATTTTGAGTACAAATTTAGTGAAGTTCAGGTAATAGACAATGTCTTTATATTTGCCAGTTTTGTCATGTGATAACTTCCCATAGTTGTTCATATTTTATAAAATCATAAAAATCTTTTTTTAATATCTGGTTTTAAAATGATTTCATAAGTCAACTTGGATGTTCTCTTTAATTTCAAAGAATTTAATACAAAATTCAACCGACTTTATCTTTTTATTTTTGACATTATCTTTTTCAGCACAGTGGAGAATTTACAGTTTCTCTCAGCGATGTCTTATTGACCTGGAAACGCTTACTACAGGAGAAATTGAACTTACCAGTTGAAAATATGGAAGTGATTGACCATTATGAGGACATTAGGAGGATTTATGATAATTTCTTAAAAAATAGTAATATGTTAGATCTGATCGATATTTATAAAAAATGTAGTGCTTTGCCTTCTAATGGTGAAAATAATGCCAACATATCTCCCGTAAGTATTTTTAAAGCAATTCTAGACTAATCAAATTAAAATTTGACTAGGTTTATTTTTAATTCTGGTATTAGCATTTATAGTAACTTGATAATGCTTTTGCTTTTTGGATCATGTTAAAAATGGAGACTTTTGCTACCTGAAAGCTAGCTAGTCATTACTTGGAAGAAAGGTTTTGGTGGTAAACTTTGTTGAACTTGGGTTATTATTATTTGGTTTAAATGTAAGAATAGCTTCTTAATACAGAAGAAAAATTTTAATGAAGAAATCAGTCTCAAATGCATGATTTCTTTTGATTGATTGATTGATTTGAGAGAGAGAAAGAAAGGGAAAGAGAGAAACAAGACTTTTATTTCTTTTTAATTTTTTTCCATAAAAAATAAAAGACTAAGATTAAATTTCCAAGGTCATCTTTTAACTCTAAACTAGAAAGTAATGGAAGCCTTTTGTTTGAAAGTGTAATTCCATGTCTACATATTGTTGACTGCCAACAAAGGTTAGGTAAAAGGCTGTATACTAGAACATCAGTGACACTGGGTAGTCCTAGGTGTGAAAATTTTTTTATAGTTGGCATATCATTTTACTCGTAATGTCCTGTATTTCCTACAGAGTCAACTACGGGATTTTCTGTGTGGCAGACAGTCCACAGTAGATGATGAAACTGGTCTTTCTGTACCGACATCACCAATGAGTAAACACAACCAGGATAATGAAAAGGTACTGATAAATTGTGAGTAAATTAAAGCAGGATATGATCCCCTTCAAATCACTATGAATTTGATTATACATACAGTTACTATTTTTTTAAAGTTTTATTTTGTTTACATAATACTGTTTGCAAAGAGTAATACATTGAAGACTGGTGAGAGCATATCAATCAGTTATTTCATGGTTTTGGGCCAACGTAACAGGCACTGTACTAAAATAGGTATCACTCTAAGTATCAGAAAAATGGTTGAAGATCCAGATTGCCAGATTTCTTTGAATCTTTATATGGTGTCTCTTGGTTACTGTGGGGGATTGGTTCCAGGACTCCCCTCGGACACCAAAATCCACGGATGCTTAAGTCTCTTATATTAAATAATGTATGTAATATTTGCAAATAACCCACACACATCCTCCTATATACTTTAAGTCATTTCCAGATTACTTTTAATCCCCAATACAATGTAATGCTATGTAAATAGTTTTTATACTGTATTGTTTACGGAAGAAAGACAAGAAAAAAATCCGTACACATTCAGTGCAGATGCAGTCATCATAGGCCTCATAGTACATGTCAGCAACAATATAACCTTTTAAAAATTTCAACTATTTTCCATCTGTGGTTGGTTGAATCCATGGATGTGGAACCTGTGGCCACTGAGAGCTGACTGTATTTGGTAAACTTCACATTACTGTTTTGTTCGGAAACAGTATTGTTGCTTGTTGGGAAAATCTGTTCTGCACCCTTTGCAGTAGAATAACTGATGCATCATGAGTTCTGATAGCAGGGTTTGTTATGCAAACGCATCATAGGAAAGTACTGCAGGTTTGGTTTAATATAATTAAACCTGTTACCTTGGCCCAACTTAACTATATGAAAGGTAAGTTGCTGATATCATGATACTTAATACCTAAATGTCTTCAGCATATTATTTCCTGAAAATAAGGGGATAACCACAATATTATTATCATATGTAAGAAAACTTAAGTATTCCCTGATATAATATGCTATCTTCTCTATTCTCATGTCTCTATTTGTCCCCTAAGTGGGTTTTATGTTTCTTTAGACTCTTAACCTAGAAGAATTCCCCCATTTTTTTTTTTTACTTCTTATTTATCTGATTAACTCCTACTGGTATTATTTTACTTGTTTCTCTATTTCCAATAAACTGGAAGTTAACCTAAAAGCTTTCTTAGATTGAGGCTTAACATTTCTTAACAAATACTTTATAATTGACACTGAATATTTCATTTTGTATCATATCAGGAGATGCAAACTCCAGTTGTCTTGAATTGTCCAGTCTTGTCTAAGTCAATTATTTCTTTAGAGTTTATAGAATGGTGAGTTTTTTACTCTAGCATGTTTTTACATTAATTAGCTGCCATTTCTCAGTAAAGAAGAACTTTATCTTATCAACTGGGTTGAAGTTCAGTTCCCTAAAAATGGCAGGGTCACTACTTAATTCTTTCTCTTTAATTACCAGTTTAAGAGTTGGTGTAATAGTTATAGGTAGTATAGGAGGAAAATTAGATATTTTTTCTATGTATCTTCCTCCTTTTTTATTTGTGTATATATTCTAAAGACTCATGGAGTTTTATTTATTTGGAGTTAAAATTAATTAGAGATCCCCTTCAAGCTGCCTTCTGTATTTTTTTTACATGCTCTTTTAAACTCTTGAGCACTTACCCTTTTTGGTACAAGAAAATACCCCAAGTCCACCTTTGAATGTTTTCTGCTAAGAGTTGTGATTCCTTTTATTGATTTATAACTATTTTCTCTTGCTTGACATTAATGTTTCACTTACATCCTGCTTGTTTTTTTCGCCTGCCTTAAATCCTGACAAAACACTTACTAAATTACCTGTTTTTTTTTCTCAGTGGTACTCACGGAGTACATTCATACATCAAGAGGGTAAATTGTTATAGACGTGTTCTTTTTGATCTATCTTAGAAGTTCTACAGGGAGGAAACAATAATTGTTATTGTGCCTTCTAATTAAAAGGAATGAACTAATTTGTACATGTAAAATGACCTAAGCTAGGAGTTTTGGCTTACAGATATAATGAAAAAGGCTCTTAGTTTATAGAAACCAATGGATCTTTGTTATAAGCATATAGTTTCCTCGTTTAAAAAGCAATGATAGTTACCCTGTATTAATACTCTACTTTATATTTTTTGTCTCCTTGGCTTATATTTTCCAGGAGAATTTTATCTACTAGTTAGCTGATGGATTAGATTTTATGAAGACTATTAAAGTAGCAGCCATCCTCTAAGCCATTTTTCTGTTCCTTGCAGACTTCTAATTTTTCTTTTTACAAAGTATTTTTGGAAGGCAACATATTTCTTTTAAAATTCCAAAGTAACTTTTTGGGCTGCAGTCTTGCAAAGATTTATTTTTATCACCAAATATGCTTACTAATGCCACACAAGAGTCCTCGAATAGATGAATGGAATGAATTTGAGAAACAATATTTTTGTTTCATTCTTTTATTTTACTTCATTTTATTTCCCTTAAGGTACTAAACTATTGCTTTAGAAATTATGAAGTAATGAGGGAAAAATACAGTAAAGGCCCCCCAAAAAGTAATCAATTAAAAATTTTTACCAGTATATTAGCTTAAGTCCACATTTTGTGTGTGTCATTAAATGTGATTGATATGTTGGCAAAGAAAGTAAAAAATACTTGTATAAATGTTAATTTTCTTAATTTAGAAAAACTGACTTCAAATTGAGATTGAATATCTGCACTTCAGTAATAATTAAGGGATGGGAAAAGGAACTTGGAATTTTCTGAAAGTTTAAAATTGTTCAACTTCTAAACAAACATTGCAAAAATACGTTGTGGTATGGGTAGAATCAGTTTATCTTTATTTTCAGTGTCTTGGTAAAAGCTTCAATCTTGTGGATTTTTTCAATTTAGGCCCTTGCTCCTGGACATCATAACTGTATTTATGTGGAGTGCTTTTTCAGAGAGCCTCTTTCAAACCCACTTGCAAATACAAGAGTAGGGAAACCATAACTGCCATGTTATCTGACCATAATGATAGGGACAGATTTCTAATTACATCTGTGAGTTAAAAGAAACACTCTAACTGTGAGGACGCCAAGATGTTTTCTCCTGATGTTTGCCTAGCATCAGAAGGACAAAATTTGCTAGACTTAAAGAACAAGCTGTAGATGTGCCAATTTAAGATCTGGATTTGTACCCAGTGAGGACTAGATATATACATACTGGTAAATCCTCATTATTTTGGCACAGTAGAAACTATTTAGTGAAACTAAATTGTAGTTTTACAAAATTAAATATGGGAAAAGTAAAAAAGTTTCTGACTACAATGTGAATATCACTGTTTTCTCTGCCTTGATTTTTGCCAAATTGTGTTCCTCTTTCCAATGTCAAAGGGATAAAGAAGATATATATTTTAGACACACTGTTGCACTGTGAGGTTAAAATAGAAATTTTTGTATTATAGATTCACATGAAGTATTGTGATTTTCTATGAAAGTAAAGTAAAAGGCCCTTTGAAATATAAGCAGAAAACTGTTATGCCTTAGTTTATAAAACTTTATGACATCTTAAAGATAATCTTAATTTAATTGTACTTACAAAGAACTTTTCTTTTTAAGGCAATGCAATAAAAACATATGAATACTTATTTGATTCCACAGAAGTTTTTATCCATAGTTTCAATTTTGAATTATCTAAAAGGGCCAAATACATGTAATAATTTTTCTTTCATCATTGAACAAAAACTTACTAAGAACCTATTAAGAAAAATGCATTGATTTCCTAATATAATGCCAATCATTCTTTTGTACATTAAGGATACATCATTTGCTCTCATGGACCTCATAAAGTAGTAGAAATATTAAGAAAATAAAGTGTCAGAAAGTATTAAGATCTTGCAGAGAATTATATAATTGACTGATATGCAGAATTATATCAGGGTGGTAAGGGAATATGTGAATGGCTGGTTACTTTATCTTGGGAAATTAGGGAGTGTCTCTTCAAAGGTAATAAATGTGCTGTATCTTTAATATTTAAGAAAAAAGTTTTATAGAGTTAATAGCCTTATTTTTAAAAAATCAGTTTTGCTTAAATTATATTTTAAGTCCATATTTAAAGTAATCTTATCCTGTCTGATGAGGTTTTTAAAAAATTGACTCTGCCTGCCTCCCATGTTTCAAGAATTGTTTTTCACATGAAATTTAAATAATTCAAAAAGGTGCTATTTTTAAAAGTACTTTTATAAGATGCATATGAACTTGAGACATCCGTAATAATTATCTAAGAGACTTCCTAACAATTTGTAATTTTTTATTGCTACCTCTTTAACTCTCTTTATGCCTTGTTTTATCATTTGACTGTGAAGAAATATGAAAGAAATGATGCCCGTATCAAGTGCTCTCAAATATTATGAATCTTGTGCTTGAATGTACTAGACTCTATAGCTTTGTTTTGGCCAGTTTACATCGACATCAACTATTTGTTATTATTTGCTTAGCATTTGGTTGAATCTTTTCATGTTAATACTTATTTGGTTTTGTCCAAATCAGTATCTTAATAATTCTCCAAAAGTTTAACCATATAATTTTAGCCCTTATATCTAGCCCTGAAAAGGACATAGAACCAAATAGTGCCAGTTGATCCATGCCCTACGAGTGGTCGGCAAACTCATTAGTCAACAGAGCCACATATCAACAGTACGATTGAAATTTCTTTTGAGAACCAAATTTTTTAAACTTAAACTATATAGGTAGGTACATTGTTATTAACTTAATGAGGTTATTCCTAAGGCTTAGGAAGAGCCACACTCAAGGGGCCAAAGAGCCTCATGTGGCTCTTGAGCTGCAGTTTGCCGACCACGGCCTAGGCTGCAGGAGGCTTCATTATTGGCTGTTGTATAGTGGCAAATATATGTGGGGGAATGAGATCAGGTCTTATCAGAAATGCAGATTTTTGGGCTGTATCTTATAAACCATTTTCTAACACCCATTTTCCATTAATTATGATAGTTGGTATTTACTCACAGCTTTTCATTGCAGCAAGTTGTTTTTATGAGCAAAGATATATTAATTGTCCAACCCAAACTTTCGGTTTATTTGGCAATTCTTTTTCCCAAAGATCTGAGTGAGATATTGTCATTGAATGATCGTAAGTATTTTTACTACACATAAAAAATTTATGGATGTAGAACAACTTCAATAAAGAAAATACTATTTTATTGTGTAGGCGAAGTTACTGGCAAAGAAAATTATCTACTCATATTTGAATCTGCTAGTGAATTCAAAGAATGACCTGGCTCTGGCTCATATTCTCAATATTCCTGATAGAGGACTTGGAAGAGAAGCCTTCACTGATTTGAAACATGCTGCTCGAGAAAAACAGATGTCTATCTTTCTGGTATGGATATGTTCCATTTTCAGGATTTTTAAAATAAAGACTCTTTGAACAGTGGATCCGTGTACCTTGATGTAGAATACTTGTAACTGTGATAAAATAACTTTTAAATTGTTACTTTATGTCCTACCGTGAGGTGTTTTTGAAAATCCATAGTGTTTTTATGTTTTTGTCATATCTTTCCAATTTGGCAAGGAGATTTTCTCTAGACGGTGTTTTCATTTATGTATTCTTTAGAGTGCTAGCCAAAGGCAGAATGCCCCTGTTACATGCTTTTTGAATTAACGTTTCCAAGAGCAAACCGTTTGGAAATAGTATATGTCTTTATTGGATATACATAAATTCATGTTTGTATTTAAAAACCTTTGGGAAGTCCTGCCATAAAGAAATTTTCAGTTAACCTTGTTATTTAATCTGTTGTTTTCTAAGTTATTTTACTGTGGGACTTTTACTCAGATTATTGAAATTTCATAGAATTTGTCTTTCTAAGGGAACACTCTGGAAAATACTGCTTTAGAATATTGTTTTGGCAGGGATGCTTTTATGTTTAGTTATCATATGTGTATATTTATCATTGTAAAGGCAAGGCCTTTTGAACTACGCATGATCAAATAATCCTAGGATATGAAACTAGATGGGACTTAGTGATTATCTAGTCTAAATCTTTATTTTGCATATCCAGAAGTTATAGCTTGGAAGAGTTGAATTAATTGCCCAATCAACATAGTGGACACTGAAAACCCCTTTGTCCTGTGCAACAATTCCAGTAGCCAGTAGTCAGCCTATATAACAACATATTCATAAACCAATTATTTATAATCAATGATATACTCTTATGAACATACTTAATTTGTCCCCTAACCTTTGCTGGCATGAATTCTGCATGGCACCTGTTTCTTTGATTACTTGCTTCTGAATCACTGTGTGGTATGAGTCACAAAAGCGCTTCACTTGTATAACCAGAATCATGTAAATATACCCAGCTTCATAAAGTAAATTGCTGTTTTAACTTATTAATCATTAAACATAACAATCACTTGTTTTATTTCATAGGTGGCCACATCATTTATTAGAACAATGGAGCTTGGAGGGAAAGGATATGCACCATCACCTTCTGATCCTTTAAGGACACATGTGAAAGGATTGTCTAGTTTTATTAATTTCATTGACAAATTAGATGAGATTCTTGGAGAAACAGCAAATCCAAGGTAATGATTTTTTTTATAAATTACTAATGTGTGTTATTACTCTATCTTTAAAACTTCATAGAATCAGAGGTAGAAATATAAGAGCTATTGAAATGGTCAATCATCAGACCAAACAGTAGGGAGAAGAATAAATATCTAGATGAATAAAATATAATCATGTGACCTTTCTCGCTAAAATTTGCTTCTCTATAATTACAAAACTTTTGCCAAAGTCAAAAGACATGTTTAAATTAAATTTTTTTAGAGAAGAGTGTTTACCATTTGTCTTTATCTGAAAGAAACAGATTTTTGAGGCCTGGAAAAAAACCTAATAGATAATTCTTTTCAAAATTTCTTTTTTAAAAAAAATTTTTTTATTGATTTCAGAGAAGGAAGGGAGAGGGAGAGAGATAGAAACATCAATGATGAGAGAGAATCATTGATTGGCTGCCTCCTGCACGCCCCCCACTGAGGATTGAGCTCACAACCTGGGCATGTGCCCTGACTTGGAATCCAACCATGTTCATAGATCGATGCTCAACCACTGAGCCACGCCAGCCAGGCTCAACTTTTAATTTAGCAATAAAGGAATCCCATATCAAGAATGAATAAGAAAATTCATGAAGAGATATGAATTATCTATTCTGTTTTCTGTTAGGTTTTTTTTGGCATAAGTTTTTGATTCATCTGAAATTTCTGTTTTTGTGATATTGGAAATGAGAGATTATGTTTATAATCTTTAAGATTCATTTGTAGATGTATTGGATGGTGTGTAATTTTTAGATTAATTTGGGTGAGGCAGAGGTGAATTGTTCATGCTAGCAATTGTGGTACTTCACTGTCAATTTAGTTGTTATGCCATTGCAGAGTACTAATAAAAATAGCTGGTATTTATTGAATATTGATTATGTGTTAGACATTGTACTGAGCTCTTTATGGGGATTATCATTTGATTACTACAACAACTTTCCATGGTAGATGCCTTATAGGTACCCAATTTAGAGAGGAAAAAACTGAAACACTAGGGTTAAGTAATTTACCCTAATTTACATGGTTATCAATTAGCCGAACTGGGATCTGAACTTAGACAGGTCTGACTCTGGAACCATTCCCTTAACACTATATATTATTCCAGGAAACTTCTTTCCAATTCAAGATTCTGGGGAGAATTGTTTTTTTATGATTTTATTCTGAATTGCATCCTTTTCTCTTTTTATATGGCTATCCATTACAAGGAAGTAAATTTGGAAGAGGCTTTTGATATGACTTGCAGTCAATATCAGTGATATCATCTGAACTCCCAGATAATGTGTGGCTGATCATTTCTTCTGAGTTAGCAGATAATTTTAAAAAATATTTTATTTTAAGCAAAGCAATATATATATATATTATGGTAAAGTCAGATAATACAGACTTGTAAACATCCAATTTGTGTGTGTGTTTTATATTTACTAATTTAAATGACATTTTAATGCAGCTATTTTTGATTTTTCAGTTAGATGTTATGTATTAACTTCCTATCCTGGAAGATAAGAATTTGCAACCCACTCACCAACTTCCCAGCACTCCTTCCCCCCAGACACAGACACACACACACACACACACACACACACACACACACACACACACTTCTCTTCCTTCATCCTTCAAGCTATCGTAATCTTTGGTCTTTTGAGCCCTCAAATTGGATCATTTTCTCTCTTTTCCCCATTCTAAATCTATATTTCAGTGAAATTCAAACCTCTTTCCTGAAATTCAAAAATATATCTTTATTTATATATGGGTTTGTTACCTCAAAGGCAAGTCAAATTTAACATGTTCCAGATCAAATCTTCATCTTTCCTTGAACACCTGCGTCTCCTCCTGACTTGATGAAGCCTCTCTCCCTCCCGTCACCCAAGCAGAAACCTGGAACTTGTCTTAAACTCCTTTTTCTCCTTTCTCTATCCCTTCAGTCACCAAGATCCATCAGTGCTTCTTAATTAACATTATTTTTATGTTCTTTCTGTAGCTACTACCTTAATCCCATTGTTTATACTGCCCGTTTTCAGATTTTCATTCTTTCTTGCCTGGATTTTTACCCTTATTTCTGACTTGTTCATTCTACCTCCAGTCTTGAGTTGCCCTATCCTGGTGTCCTCACTGCTGCCAGTGATCTTTCTGAAACAGCGAATGCTACTTCCATGATTAAAACCCTTTTAAGATTCCAAATGAGGATAAAACTCCAGAAACCTCAGTATAGTATATAAATTCTATGCACTTTAACTCCTGCCTGCATATCACTCTGTGTCTCAATGTTAAAACTTAGAGATAAAAATGTATATAATTCTTGTAACTGAGGATAAGTTTGTACTACTTGTCTTATAATAGGGTGGTGGTGATAGGGAATCACAATAATCTTTGAGTCCAAAGCATGATGGGGAATAAATAGGCTGACAGGGAAGAAATCCAAGAATCCATTCTCACACTTATCTCCCCACTGCCAGATTTTCATTTGGCCATCTTGGCTATCGTTTGGCTGCATTTCTGCCCTTTGCCAGTAGGTGCCACCATAAAATGCATACTGTACTTTCACCTGAAAAAAAGAGGTTTCAGGTTTCATAGTTAAAATGTTTAAAATAGTTGTTCAAATGTTTAAAACTCTGTATTTCAAGTTTATTACACAACAAATCTTCAATGGCACATCTGAGTTATATATATTGGACTAAATGTTATGCATTTATAGAATATTAAATCTGGTTTAAATTTTCCAGTTCAGAATTTCATTTAAATATATTTTGGAAGCATTTTGATACATTTTATGTAGCACCTTTAATTATATTTAACTAGAGGCCTGGTGCATGAAATTAGTGCACTCGGGGCAGGGGAGGGGGGGTCCCCTCAGCCCGGCCTGCACCCTCTTGCAGTCCGGGAGCCTTCGGGGGGGATGTCTGACTGATGGCTTAGGCCCGCTCCCCTTAGCTCTGTCGCGGAGGTGGGAGAGGCTCCCACCACTGCTGCTGTGCTCACCAGCCATGATCCTGGCTTCTGGCTGTGTGGCGCTCCCCCTATGGAAGCAAACTGACCACCAGGGGTCAGCTCCTGCATTGAGCATCTATCCCCTGGTGGTCAGTGTGTGTCATAGTGACCGCTCATTCTTCCATTTGGTCCATTTGCATATTAGCTTTTTATTATATAGGATTGTTATAGATTTTTTAAAAATTTCACCTGAGGATATGTATTTATTGATTTTGGAGAGAGAGGAAGGAAGAAAGAGAGAAACATCTATGTGAGAGAAACACTGATTGGATGAAACCCCTCCAACCTAGGTATGTGCCCTGACTGGGAATCCAACCCTCAACCTTGTGGTGTATGGGATGATGCTTCAACTAACCAAGCCACCTGGCCAGGGCTGGAGATATAATTTATTTTAGTAAATAGTTACCAAATTCATGAAGATGGTGAGGAAAAGCCAATCAATCACTCTTTATGGTAGAGAGTTGGCAATTACATTAAAGTATTGCCTACCAATCATTTGTCTTTATTATTGCTTATTGTTCTCCTTCAGTCCCTATGTTTTGATACAAGCTTGGGGTTTAATGTGTTTTTCTTCACTAGCTTCATTTTTTTTTTCTCTTTCTGCTCCAGGGCTTTGATGTGATGCATTTAGTAGTCAGGAGCCACAGTTTACCTTTCTCACCTAAATTCTATTAATATTTATCCAGCATAGTCATAATGTGTCTTCTGGGAAGCCTTCCTGAATACTTCCTTGTTCTCTGCCCTTCTCACTCAGACTTTCTCTATTCCTTTAGTATCTCCTACCGTATGATCAATTTTGACCTTTTAAAGAGAAAGGTTTTATTCATTTTGTATTTCTAGTGCCTAACACAATTGTCCTGATGTCATTTGAGTTAAAACTTCAGGAGTTTCTAGGCTTTAGAAGTAAGTGTTTGAAATAATAAGCCTCTGTGTTGTTGAGCAGATATTTGAAGAGTTAATGGTTGGCTAGTGCATAGTGAATGCATAGCAACAGACTAGGCATGACACTGGTGCTTGGTGTATTTTGCTAGGGGTCAAAATATTGACTTTGACAAGTATTTTAAGTACAGGTCTAATATATATATATTTTTTCTAAATAAAATACAATCAGTGAATTATATTATTTTTAAAATTTAGCATATTTGTTCTTGTGAAAAGAATGAGAAAAGGGAGGCAAAGGTGAATTTTACCTAATATTTAAAGCTTTGTTTTTTGGTGTGGTGTTTTTTTGTTGTTGTTCTTATAATTGACTAAGACAATCTATCATATTTTATTACCCTTTTGAATCTTTTCCAAAACGTTTCCATTAGAGATTAATTCCCAGAAAAAGCACATAATGTTAATTGTGTATTCATTTTGGCTATATTTGATCCAGTTATGTCTGTGCTTTTAATTGAAAATTAAGAAAAAATTAGCTGAAAAAGAAAGTGCCTGCATACTTAAAATAATTCCTAGAGTCTACTGATTACGGTTGTATGGCAGACTAGGTCGGCTGATTGACCCTTCCTTTGACAGTAATTAATAATGCTGGATAACATATTTTTTTAAATGCTTCTCAAATACATTGATGAGCAGGCAATTTCAATGAAAATGCAGACAAAAACTAGAGGAAGGAAGAAAGCCAGAAAGGAAGTCAAAAAGGGAAGCCAGGTTTTATTTTGAGACTATTTGCTGAATTTGGTGATTTGGAGTCTGTTCTTATAGCCACCAATGTCTGCGGGACAGATGACAAAGTCGAAGGACTGCCCAAGGTGAGGAGCATCTTAGGACATACCCATCCTTCATGGCTACCCCTTCAGTGTAAAATGAATTAAGACTAAGGGTTTTAACCTGATAAATGGTTTCTGTGAAAACCTACTTGATGGTAAAATATTTTAGCATTATATTTAAGATTTAGAATGAGTTCTTGCTCTCATAATTTTTTAACATAGTATTAGGTGCCCATTTCACTATAGTAAGGCAAGAAAAAGAAAAAGGAGATAAAACAATTGAAAAGGAACAAGTAAAACTCTAATTGATGATATGATTATGTATGTAGAAAACTCCAAGAATCAGAAGAAAAATGATTAAAATTAATAGTAGAGTTTATCACAGTGTTTCTGGGCACAAGGTTATTAAACAAATTCCAATCTTTCATATTTTATTTCTTACACCATCACCAAATAGAAAATGTTAAAAAGTAGCATCAAAGAGCCCTAGCCAGTTTGGCTCAGTGGACAGAGCGTCGGCCTGCAGACTGAAGGGTCCCAGGTTCGATTCTGGTCAAGGGCATGGATCGATGTTTCCTTCTCACATGGATATTTCTCCTCTGCCCCACCGCCTCGCTCTAAAATCAATAAAAATCTTTGGGTGAGGATAAAAAATAATACGGTTCCTTTCTCAAGGAGCTAATTTTTTCATAAAATGTTTCCCAAGCTTGTCTAGTCATAAGAATCACCTGTGGTACTTTTACAATAATGCAACTATTTAAATCCTTCTCTGGAGAGTGTGATTCAATAGGGCAGGATCTGGAATTAATCTTTTAAACTAATGCTGAATATTTTTCCTTTTTTTTGGGTGGGGGGAGAGTGGGTGGTACTTGGAGGTTTGGGGGAACTGCAACCCAAATTTATTCAGGTTCAGGCTTAGTATAAAGAAATAATTGAGTTCAGGTTTTTGGCCATAGTTGGTCCAGTCTCTGGTTTGCTTTAGATCAGTGTTCTCAACCTTCCTAATGCCGCGACCCTTTAATACAGTTCCTCATGTTGTGATGACCCCCAACCATAAAATTATTTTCATTGCTACTTCATAACTGTAATTTTGCTACTGCTATGAATTGTAATGTAAATATCTGATATGCAGGATGTATTTAGGCAACCCCTATGAAAGTGTCGCTCCACCCCCAAAGGGGTCGCGACCCACAGGTTGAGAACCGCTGCTTTAGATGATCAGGCAAATTTGGGAGACACTGGTCTAATGTACTATTGCATATTAAGTCTCTGCAGTTTTTTTCTAACTTCCCTTTTCTACTTGGACCATCTATTTAAATGTGAACAATTATATTTCCAATGATCGTTAGGGAACCTGGCTTGTTCCTAAAACATAAAGTCTGGCAATGAGGCAGTGAGGATGAAAACTTTAATTCCTAATTTCCTTTCTGGCACTATAAACTTCACGGAGAGATTAAACAGCTTACTCAAGATAGAAAGTGAGGCAGCTGCGATTTGTGCTCAGGTAGTCTGACTCCACACTCAGACCACACCCCCTTCTCAACTGGCACGGTGCAGCCTTTCCACCCAGGACAGAGATCTCCTGACCTCAAAAAAAGCCCCCTTCTGCTGTTGACACTGGTAATTTCTTTCTTGTAATGGACCCAAATCCTTCCCTCTATACATTTCCCACATTGGTTTTTGGTCTGTTACCTAGAGCAGGAACTGCAACCCAGATTTACTCAGGTTCAGGCTTAGTATAAAGAAACCTGGATTCAGGAGGTTTTATAAAACCTTACCTATGGGCCGTAGTTGGTTGAGTCTCTGGTTTGCTTTAGATCCATATTAACTAGCTTGCTTTCCTCTTTCATGTAATCACTCTTCTCATACTATAGTGCAGTATTACGTGTTCCAGGTCAGTCTCCTTCCCCACCACCTCCTTCCTAGCCCAGAACAGTGCGTATTCTTGAATAAGCTACTTAACCATTTTCTCATCTGTGATTTAAGGGTAATAATACTTACTGAATTGGTTTTAAGATTAAAGTGATGTAGGATTCTAGGTATTTAGTGAAAGGTAGCTTTTGTTACCTTAGTTGTGTCGAAAGGTACATATTTTAAGTATATTGTGTATGTATAACTGCATCTGAATCTGTCATCATATATAACTAAATTATTTCCCTTTAGCTTTCAAATAAAGAAAGAAGTAACTTACCTTGTTGAAATGACTTACTTTGTAATTTTGCTTCTAATGGTTCTCATCCTTTTCTTAAATGTCTTACTGTTTGATTTTTAAGAACAAATCCATAATCTTTGAAAAGTGTTGATTAACTCTGAGAATTATATTGTCAAGCTCATACACACATTGTCATTTCTAATACTATTATAAAGGCAATCTTATTTCCATTTTCAGCATTGCAGGGAGTCGGATACTCTCTGTGATAAAGATGCAGGTGATTAAAGGCCAGAACAACAGGGATCCTTTTTGTAAAGCAGTAGAGGAGGTTGCTCAGGATTTGGATTGGAGGATTAAAAATATTTTCAATTCTCAACAAGGAGACTTAGCTGTTAGCACCACTGACATCAGTCCTGCACGGGTAATGAGCTTTTTATATTTTATTATCCTTCTATATAAAACATCTCCTCTTCTATTTGTCGTAGAAATGGTTTACTATTGCTACTTAAGTCAGAAGAATGTGTTTCCTGTGTTACGTTGTTGACAATTTAAGTTCTCAATAGGATTATGTAGGATTATGTTGGAGTTGGGTAAATCTTAACATCTTTGGACCAAATTGACTGTATTTGTTAAAGTAGGGCATTGGATAATCTTCAGTATCCCTTGGAGCACTAGCAACTTATAATTCTTGTGGGAACTAAGGTGTTCTGTCGTATTTTTTAATATTATTCTTCAAAGCAATTATTTTCCCTTTGGTTTCTCTGGTTCTGACCTCAGTACTAGGCACTTAATAGAAAGGCAACAAAATGGTTTCTATTCAGTAGTTTATTTTTCTTTTACAGAATTTTTCTATTTCTGTGATGTCTTATTTTCTACTTCCATTGCAGCGTACTGTGAACATTCAGAATTTCTCCTATACTTAGAAATCTCTTAACTATATATTCCTAGAACATTCACCTCTCTCTCTCTCTCTTTTATTTTTTTTTTTACTGAGATTTTTGAACATTATGCAGTATTATAACTATGGTATTATAGGAAAAATTTTCTACCTTGCTTTTAGCTCTAAAACACAATTCTGGAGTATGTGGTAAAATCCATTAGTTACAGTTTAGTTATTCAAGTAACAAAAGCCCCTTTTCATTAGTTGTGATTGTGACAGCTAGTGTTTGAAGAAGGACTTTTGCTTATTTTTTATTACTTATTTTATTCACATCCCCTGGGGACTATTTTTAGATATTTCTCAATAACTGCATGTTTTTAGATTAATTTGATGGGGGAGATTCTGAGTTGTTCTCCATATATCTCATGTATATTAACAGTTCCTGTGACTGGCTTGGCTCAGATGACAGCCAGGTTATTACTATCAGTATAAATCAGGAATTGTCACAACTCAGATAATTAAGAGCATCAATCTCTCCCATTTCCAGTCACAAGAAATAAAAATGCAAGCAACCTGGTTCTTAATTGTATGTTTTTCACCAAGTCAGAAATCTTTGAAAAATGCGATTCAATAATTCCTCCGTGAGATTAATATTAAACAATATGGACTTATCTGGTGCTAATGAAAAATATATATGTTAAGCACTAGGTTGTGATAGATAATTGGTTAAAGTTCCAGTATGGGTGTGGATTATAGCTCACCGAACCTGAGCCTGAGTCAGCCAAGTAGAGAAAGGAGGCCAAGACCATGTTGGTGAAAGCTGAGGAGTGTCCCAGAAAGGGCAGCTTTGATATCGAGGTATAATGTCCACCAACCCTATTGGTTAGGCACTCTAAATACCCATGTTTTACCAGTGATTTAACTGAAGCACATTAAGGTTCAGCAACTTTCCCAGACTTACACAGCACATACAACTAGTAAGTTGTTATCAAAATCAGACAGAAATGCCTTCAGAGTCTGTGCTTACATGTATTTGTGTATTATATTTTATCATACATTTTTGCTTATTCTTCTATCTCGTCACTGAGTTTTTCCAGCTCTCCTCTTTTAATCTGCTTTTTCTTAATCTCCACTGCTACTATCTTCTTCACTTTTAAACTGGATTATTACAGTCTCTTAATTTGTTCTGTCTTCAGATTTAATAACATTCTTACCCTGGAATATGTTTTACACATTGCCATCATTTTTCTAAAATCTAAATAGTATTGTTTTACTTCCTTGCTTAATAAACTAAGAGATTTTTAACAGACTGACTTATAACCTCTTTGCCTGATACACAAAGCTTTTCTAGGCTCATGTCATTTAACTCCCTCTCTATTATCCTATTCTTCAGCCATATCATACTCCCCCGTCCCTGAAAATACCTTGCTCTCTCCTATGCCTTTGTGTCTCCTTCTCTATGAAGCCATTCTTGATTCCAGGGTAAATTGATCACTATCTTTTGTGTGCTCCCAAGGCACCATGTATACCTTATGTTAGAAATAGCACTTAGCACCGTGAATGCAATTATTGCTTACTTATTTTATTAAAGAGAATGTGGGTTCCTTGTGGCAGTGGTTTTTACCTTGGTGGTCTTAGCTTCAAACACAGTGCTTGGGTCTTAGTATGTACTGATCAATGATTACTGAATGAATGAGAATCAACTATAGTTTTTCATTTTTGCATTTGAGTAGATCTTTCTAGCCATTTGTGGGGTTGGTATTTAGATCACCAGAACCTCATCTCTCTTTGGTGTAAGAGAGAAAAATACTGAGAAGTTAAATCCTGAGGGAGGTCGCATAGGAAGGCAGTAGCTAAATTTTCTGACTTAAAAGCCCAACGTTGTTTTGACCAGAACCTAATGTCATCCTTTTTGATGATACTATTTTTTTTGTATTCTTTTGTGCTTTTGGAAGTTGATAAAATTGATTTTAGTATGGCTTGAGGGAGAAATATTCTCATGCCTGAAAGCCACTTCTTATGGATGATCTTTTATTAAACAACAGAGCAGGAAGGAGAACCGTGGTGCATGAAACGGAAAAGTGACTGATTGACCCAGCCGGGATGATTATAATGTTTACTTAAAATTATTTTTTGTTCAAGCCAAAATCTTATGCCATAAACCATGGCACTGCATACTGTGGCAGAGATACTGTGAAACTTTTACTAGTTCTTTTGGATGAAGAAGCAGCCAGTTTTCCTACTAAAAACAAAGCAGAGCTTTTATATGACGATGAATACACCATTGATCACAATGGAACTTCTATTCTTACACTTTTCAGGTAAGTCATGTGGAAGCTATATGTATGTGAATGTTAACTCTGAGGAGTTTTTGAAAAAGCACCTCATTGATTATAAAACAAGTGCATGCTATGGTAGGAAACGTGGAGATTATAGATAAGTATGATTAGAGAAAACTGAAGTTAGTTAAAAGGAAATTGAACACTTGAATGTGAGTTATATATAAAAAGGTGTATTTTGTAAGAGTATGGCAGGTGCTCTTTTATTTATTTATTTTTTGTTTTTTTGCTTTGGAAATATTTATTTGCTTTGCTATGTGTGTCAAGAACTTTGCTAAATGTTTTCATTTATATTATATCAGCCCTCATAGCAACCTCTTTTAATAATATCCTCACTTTTTAAGTGAAGAATTAGAGGCTTGAGAGGTATGTTAAATAATTTGCCCAAGAGAGCTAAGTTAGCAAGCAGCAAAGGTGTCTTTCTCTGAAGCCTGGAGTCTCTGCTCTAAGGACTGTGCTATTCTGCCTGAGAAAAAGAGAGAGCATTGCACCAAACTCCCATTGGAGTTGACATTTACTGTTTCTTCCTCACATTGTGAAGAAAAATACTAAACTAGTGTTGGTATTTCATGCAAGACATTGATACTATCCAGTTTTGACAACAGTTAGATCAAAATCCAGTAAGTTGATAATATTTTCAATTAATGCGTGTTCATTTATAGAAACATTAAAAATTTTAGAACAACCATTTTAAATTGTATTTAGTGCATTGTGGAGAATTTTTACAACGTCATCCTATTATTTGATCTTTTCTATTTTCTGCTTGAGCTACTTTTTAGAAATCTAATTTTAGTCTAAAATTGTTCATACACATCCATGCGTGATTGTTTCATGCAATCTCTCTCCTGTGCCTCACTGTCTTTTGTCTTTGAAGAGAAAGGTTAATGATCTATAATTCAGTTTTATCCTATAATTCTTTTAAATGTTGTCTTCTTCACCATCTTCCCATGATTATTCTTTACTGTTGGGCATAATATAATTCTTTCACATTCTACCTTAGAAATGCCCAAATATTTTCCTAACAGTGGAAATTTATTTTATCAGTGATTTGCTTTCACCCTGTGTCAGAATCCCAGAAATGAGTATAAAGAAAATGACTCTTTGTTTTTTTCTCCTTTTACCTTCTGTTTAACAAGGTTTACTTTTTAGGTAGAAATATAAATGATTTAAATTTTCTCTCATTCTACCATTTACTATTTTGTGTTAATAGAATATTTTAAACAATATTAATCCCACATCCATTTTAGGGAGGTATTTTTCTGTATTCAGTCATGTGGCCAAACACATATTAATTGTTTGCAATTACCTTGGCACTGCCGTTGTCCTTGTGTGCACAGGTCCCCTCCATGGTAAAGTAAATTTTTAATGGTCTCCATTGAAATGATAAAATTAAGGACAATGTGTATAAATATAAAGTCAATATAAGGTTATAAACTAGATTTTCTTAGAATGAACTATCTTTTAGTCTTATATAATGGTTTTTTGAGTCACAGGGGTTATGTCTCTGGCTCTGTGGAGCCAAACAGGAACTTATTGGGGAATCCATGTTTCTCTAGCTCCCAAGCTCCAGTATCTATTTCTCCATTGTGCCTTCTCTAACCCTTCTTCTTATAAACTATGCTTTTCTCTTTTGAATTCCTCTGCTATGACACTTAGCCTTTTTCATTTTGAATTTTAGTTAAGTGGGTGTTTTTTTTTTTTTTTTACTTAGACTTCATGAGTCCTGAATTCAGGGCCAATGAATGAATAAACTTTCTATTCACAGGATGTTATACAGTGGCTTACATATAGTAGAAGCTCAAATATCTAGTGACTGAATTAAGCAAATTATTAAGATTTAGAACTGTCAGAATAGGGATACTGATATTTTTATATAGTATTATATAGATTCAGTAGTCTTTTATTATATAACTGCTTTTGTGTAGGAGAGGGTGAAAACTAGATTTTAGAAAGCTCTTTTGGTTTATAAAATTTTGCTTTATTTGGACATAGATCTCCCATACAAGTGAATAATTCTTTGGTGAAACCACTAAGAGAACGCATCCACAAGTCAATGGAAGAGAAAAAAATTAAGGTACAATTTAATGAATTGTTGTGAAAATGATAGAAATTGTTTTATTTTTAGAAGAAATACATGAAATTGAACTGGGTATAATAAATATACATTGTGCATGGAACAATAGGAATTAAGTGGAAAATGAGTTATGACCATTTACATGCAGAAACATTTCTTTTATATAATCTTGGCTAATCTGTCTCTGACTTAATCATTTCACGGACCTAAAAAGGAAAGGAATAAGTACCGGCTATCACTGAGTGTTCAAGAAATATCTGCTCAGTGAATGAAGGGGAAAATAAAGGAATATGTTTTCTCATTTACATTTCTGTATCTTAAACTGAATCCTAAGGCTGCATGATTTCAGTCTAAAGACATAATGGCAGAATATAATTAATTGTAGATTTTGACAAAGAGAACATTTGACATGGTTCATTGACTAGAGCTGTTCTTTATATTTTCATTTTGTTTTCCTGTTCTCATTTGAAACATTTGTACTATAAGTAGTCAATAATGTGTTTTTCAAGAGCTTAAAATTTTTTTTGGTCTTATTTTTCAAAATGAGACTCAATATTAACTCATTCATTTATTCAACATACATTTATTGAATATCTACTATGTGCCAGGTAATCTTTTATGGTGGGGAATTCATTCATTTGTTTAACAAATTTTTCATGTAAAAGTTATAGTTATCCTTAAACTGTCAAATAATTATTCATCTTGATACAACTTTGAGAACTCTAAATTGTATGTTCTTTATATTCCCATTTAGAAAGTTAGTTCCAATTAGCAAAGCTTTTAGTTTTCATCTATTTCATTTATATCTTCCAACCCCATTTAGTTTATTTATACATATTAATAAGTCTTATATTTCCATTGATTATTAGTAGTTGCTAATAACTAATACTTGTGGAATACATCATTGAGTTTTATACAATGTTTCTGTGAATAAAATTTGTCAACTCCTTGTTATATTAACTGTAAGTAATGTAGTTAAGGCATGGGATTTTAAAAAACACATTTATTCTTTGGACTTGATTAGAAATGTAACATATAAATTCTTTAACTTTTTTCCTGCTATGGATACTGACAGACTATAATACTTTCATTTAAAGATCATTGAGATATTTTGTTAGAACTAAGTAAATCAAAATGAAAATATCTGAAAAAATGAAAAGTGTTTGGTTTTTGTTATAGAAATTGATAAGTCAACTAATTACTATAAAATGCACAGATAAATTTAATTTATAGAGAAATTTAGGAAATTTGGGGAGTAGAAAAGAGATTGTCTAATCCAGTCTCATTTACAAACAAGGAGACCAAAATCCTGAGAAAACCTTATTCCAGATCTTATAACTGCCATGATATATTACTCTATGCCAGTGTACAAAGCCATGGTTAAATACTAATGGGATTATAATTACATTGCTTTTGGAACTTAGTAGTGGAGCTGGCTTAGTCTACATAGCTCTGAATCTAAACGGCAATAGGGAATTGAGGGAATTGGTGTTTGTGATTATATTTGATAGTACAGTATTCTTTATAAAAGCAAAGTGTGAAAATAATTGGTTTAGCAAGGTGTACAGCTGAACCATGGCCAGATAGAGTACTTATTTGGAATAATAAAAAAAATGTTGCTAATATTTACTACTGAGTAACTATGGAAAAGTAGTTTAACAGCTAATTACCTTATTATCCTGTTACTTTTGCTCTTTCGGCATACATTTTTTTTTTTTTTAGTCATGGAAAGAATATATAATTTACACCTGAAAAACTGTCTTGGAATGAGTACTCACTGCAAAGGTAGAAAATATTAGAGAACTTAGAATGTGGCTGTTGTAGATGATACTTGATTGTGAAATATCCATGTCATTATAATGGGGCAAATTAACTTTTTTTATATTTTTGTTTCCTCATTCAAAAATAGTAATAGATACTCCTCTGAACATAAAATCCTATTAAAGCCATTATGGAAAGTATTTATTAATATACTAATTTTAAGTCTTCAAGTCTTATGTCTTAGTGTAGCTTATTAGGAAACTTGTCTATTATGGGCAAAAAAATTTTTCTATGAAGGAAATCGGAATCTTCTTCCAGAACCTTTATGGTTTTGGTAGGAACCAGTAGAGAATGTTTTCTCCCCATTTCCAAGCAATTTATACAAGTACCCTTAAACTTTTTTTAAAAAAAATTAAATTTATTGGGTTGACATTGGTCAACATGAACATACAGGTTGCAGGTGTGGTTTTCTATGTTACAAGATCTGTATATTGCACCGTGTGCCCACCACCCAAAGTGAAATCTTCTCCTGTCACCATATATTAGGACCTCCTTCTCCCTCCATCCCCTATACCTTTTCGCTAAAAAATTTTTCAAGGAGATACTTACCTCCTTATATCTCTGTAAATAAATTTGTTTCATTCCTTCCAGCTTGATGTAGCAGTATTTTCAACATCAGGCACAACTGAAAGGTCATATTTATGGGCCTTTTTCTTACATGTATGTCAGAATTATCATCAGTATTAACTGATCTAATAACTTAAGTGAGCTGATCAGGAAAATACTGGATCTTTAAAACATGGAGTAATCGAGACAGTGGAAATTTGGACTTAGGTCGTGTGAAAAAAATTGACTGCTGTAATGGTACCTTTGTAAGCTGCCAGGCAGTCCAATACTCATGATGTTAGGAAATTCTTAATCAAATATCCAGGTTTAACCTTTAGGGTATTAGAAAACGCACTGTATATTCAAATTAAAATGGATTTAGTTCAACTCATAGAATTTCCCTCCCCTTAAAATGAGTACAGAATAGTAAAAACTAACAAATATATTCACCAAGAGCAAACAATATAGAATAATGTAATTAGATATAATAGACTTCAAAAATGATAGCCAAGGACAGAAACAAATGATTTCAGAGTGAAGAGGCACAGCATGACTTAATGACTTAATCTACTCTAGTATTCAGATATACTAGTGAGTTGACAAAATCATGAGAATTATCATAATATTTCCAGAACTGAGGAGCCAACTAAATGTGTGTGTTCTTGTTTTTCTTTGTTTGTTTGTGTGTGTTTTTTTCCTTTCTTGCCAGAGAAATAGTAGAAATGGCAACTGTATTGTAATGTGGATAAATGTGGAAAAGGAACCCTGGGACTTATTAGTACACACTTACTCTATTGTGACATACTGAATTGGGGAAATGATGCAAATGATCTCCTTCTATTTGAATGAGAAACAGTCCCTGAGCAGGGGTAGCAAACCTTCTTAGAGTACATATAATCTATAATAATAAAAGTGTAATATGCTAATTAGACTGGACATCCTTCCAGACGACCTTCCAGACAAAGCTGGGGCTGCAAGGGAGGCCCAGGTCCCAGGTGCTTGCCTGTGGCTGGAGGGAGCTCCGGGTCCTGGGTGCCAGAGGGAAGCCGGTGCCGGCAGCCAGGGAAAGGAAGACCTACTCTTGCATGAATTTCGTGCATCGGGCCCCTAGTGTCTAATAAACTCTTAGAAGAGAGTGCAGAACCCAGACATTTTTTTCAAATTGCACATTTTCTCAGCTGAACCCTACTTCCGCCTCTGCCATTGCTCTGGCTACAGAAAAAATGAAGGATAACAAAGTATGCAGCCTTCAAATTGTAACTGAAGAGAAAATAAAATGCTCTCAAATAAGGAGGGAACAGAATCAAGAAATCACTCCCAGACTTGGAGGCTTCTGTTTCTAACTAGGATATAGTAGGTCATAGCAGAATGCCATTTCTACTGCAAAACAAAATAAAAGGCAGAAAAAAAATGGGGAAAATATATCTTAAAGACATAGACAAGCTATGTAACCAAAGCAGTTTAAATAAACTAAAAATTCTGAGGTGAGCTAGCCATTATCAGCTGTTTCTTCCCTGGGATTATTTGCCAGTGTGGGGAGCGACCCGAGGATTGGCATTGGCCCATATACAGGACCTCCAGAGGAAGGGAGGAACCAACAAAGATCTTGGGTGTCTTGAGAGGTTGGCAACAATTTGGAAACTTCAGGAGCCCTGAAGTTTATTTTTACCTAGCACACATAGGCCAAATTTCCGGAGCTGAGAGGAAGTCTAAGGAGCCTCCATCCAGTACACTGACATCAGCTGTGATCTTGAGGCAGCTGGGAGACAGCGCTCTGCTTGAGGAGCGGGACCTGCCTGGAACACAAATATCTCCTTCTCAAGATATTTGCCACATTCGGACATGAAGTGAAATGGAAGGCCCAAGAGCACAGTGTAAAACTCTGAAGAACAGAGGCCATAGACATACACAAGGCTCTCAGCTGAAAGCCTAGAGGGCCATTCCTGAGGAAAAAGAGCCAGAAATTGAATATGCCTTATGACTTCTGCATCCCAGCTCAGTCCCTGACTACCTTCACTGTGTCTGCCTAGCAGATGCAAGGGAAACCCTTCATCTGGAGCCTGTGCAGTTCCTTTAGACACAATATCCATCATTAAATAAAATATTCTGGAAATGAAAAGAGGAAGGAAGATTTGTCCTTTAGTCAAGAGAAAAAACTAACAAGTGATCCAGGTATCAAGAATTAGCAGACAAGGAATTACATTTTTTTTTAATATGTAAAAGATGGACAAAATGGAGGATAAATTGGAGAATTCCAACAGAGAATTAAAATCTATAAAACAGAGCCAAATAGTCATTTCAGAACTGTGAAAACGTTGTCTAAGAACTCAATAGATGAGTTTAATAAATTGGACATAGCATCGTAGCACAAGTGGACTTAAAGATAAGTCACTAGAAAAATCTCCAAACTAAAGCAAAGGGAGAACAGAATAAAAAAGGAAAAGAGAAGAGCAGGACACAGAGAAAAAGTCTAACATTTGCCTATTTAGAGCCCCAGAACAGGAGGAGAAAGTAAGATGGAAACGATTTTTGCAGATATAGTGATTGTAGTTTTTCCCAAAGCTTAAATGACTTCACATCAGGTGGTTGTTAGTAACAAGACATGGGGAACACATGTAAGGTTTCCTTTACTA